TTCTGGGACTTTGGCAGGATAGGAAACATCTGTTTAGAGAGTACGAGCCTCCCTTCCCTCCGGTACTTGCACCTGTTTGCGGTTCTTTATGCGAGAGGCAGGAGGAAGGCCTCGGGGAAAGTTGGTTGCAACTGGAGCAGCTTTCGTTGGAGGAGAGAGAGATCTCCGCCATAGACCTGTCTGGACAGGAATCCATTGGCAAAGAGGAGAAAGGCTTCCTTGGAAGGAAGCACACCTGGCGGGATCAGAAGAGCAGGTAACTTAACTCCTGGCCTCCCTTAAGGAACTCGGCAAGTCTTGCAGGACTCCCCTGGCATTGTTTAACCCTATCTAACCACATAGATCAGGCATGGGCAAACTTGGGCCCTCCAGGTGTTTTGGACTCCAACTCCCACAATTCCTAACAGCCTACCGGCTGTTAGGAATTGTGGGAGTTGGAGTCCAAAACACCTGGAGGGCCCAAGTTTGCCCGTGCCTGACATAAACCATAGAGGGTACCCCAAAGGTCATTTAGTCTGACCTGCTTAGGCCAGACAGGAGGACACAATCAAAGCCCTCCTGACAGATGGTCGTCCAGCCTCTGTTGGGTCGTAGAATCCTAAGTTAAGGGATCCCAGGGGCCATCCAGTCTAACTCTCCTCTGCCATGCAAGATGATACAATCAAAGCCCTCCAGACAGATGGCCATCTAGCCTCGGCTTAAAAACCTCCAGAGGAGGCGACTCCACCACTTTCCAAGGTAATGAGTTCCTAAGTTAAGGAATCTCAGGGGCCATCCAGTCTAACTCCCGCTGCCAAGCAAGAAGACACAATCAAAGCCCTCCAGACAGATGGCCATCCAATCTCTGTTGGGTCATAGAATCCTAAGTTAAGGGATCCCAAGGACCTTCCAGTCTAACTCCGTTCTGCCAAGCAAGAAGACACAATCAAAGCCCTCCTGACAGATGGCCATCCAGCTTCTGTTGGATCGTAGAATCCTAAGTTAAGGGATCCCAGGGGCCATCCGGTCCAATCCGGTCCAGTCCAATCTCCTTCTGCCAAGCAAGAAGACACAATCAAAGCCCTCCAGACAGATGGCCATCCAATCTGACTGTGTTCTGCTTTGGTCTGGCCTCATAAGAACTGATAAGAGTTCTTCAACAGTGGAACTCACTGCCTTGGAACGTGGTGGAGTCACCTTCTCTGGAGGTTGGGTCGTAGAATCCTGAGTTAAGGGATTCCAAGGGCCATCCAGTCTAACCCCCTTTTGCTAAGCAAGAAGACACAATCAAAGCCTTCCTGACAGATGGCCATCCAGCCTCTGTTGGGTCATAGAATCCTAAGTTAAGATATCCCATGGGCCATCCAGTCCAACCCCCTTTTGCTAAGCAAGAAGACACAATCAAAGCCCTCCAGACAGATGGCCATCCAGCSTCTGTTGGGTCATAGAATCCTAAGTTAAGGGATTCAAGGGCCTTCCAGTCTAACTCCCTTCTGCCAARGAAGAAGACACAGTCAAAGCYCTCCAGACAGATGGACATCCAGCCTCTGTTGGATCGTAGAATCCTAAGTTAAGGGAWCCCAAGGGCCATCCAGTCTAACTCCCTCCTGCCAAGCAAGAAGACACAATAAAAGCYCTCCTGACAGATGGYCATCCAGCCTTGKCTTAAAAACCTCCAGAGAAGGTGACTCCACCACGTTCCAAGGCAGTGAGTTCCACTGTTGAAGAACTCTTACCAGTTCTTATGAGGCCAGACCAAAGCAGAACACAGTCAGACTATGACATCCCTCAGCAAGAAGAGACAATCAAAGCCCTCCAGACAGATGGTCATCCACCCTCTGTTGGGTCGTAGAATCCTAAGTTAAGGGATCCCAGGGGGCATCCAGTCTAACTCCCTTCTGCCAAGCAAGAAGACGCAATCAAAGCCCTCCAGACAGATGGACATCCAGCGTCTGTTGGGTCGTAGAATCCTAAGTTAAGGGATCCCAGGGGCCATCCAGTCCAACCCCCTTCTGCCAGGCAAGAAGACACAATCAAAGCCCTCCTGACAGATGGCCATTCAGCCTCAGCTTAAAAATCTCCAGAGAGGGAGACTCCACCACACTCTAAGGCAATGAGTTTCACTGTTGAACAACTCTTACCATGAGGAAGCTCTTCCTTATGAGGCCTGACCAAAGAAGACGCAATCAAAGCGCTCCTGGCAGATGGCCATCCAGCCTCTGTTGGATCGTAGAATCCTGAGTTAAGCGATCCCAGGGGCCATCCAGTCCAACTCCCTTCTTGCCAAGCAAAAAGACACAATCAAAGCCCTCTTGACAGATGGCCATCCAGCCTCGGCTTAAAAACCTCCGGAGAGGGAGACTCCACCACACTCCAAGGCAATGAGTTCCACTGTTGAAAAAGTCTTACCAGTTCTTATGAGGCGAGACCAAAGCAGAACACAGTCAGAATATGACTTCCCTCAATCTCAACATGAAATTCCTACTGGTACAGCTTAGAATCGCATTGGCTTTTTTAGCTGCAGCATCATACTTTTGGGTCATGTTCTGCTCCTAGAGATACCTTTAACATGGACTGTTTTCAAGGCCGGTGTTTCCACTTGTCACATCTTAGCTTTCTAGTGGTTCAATATACACAAACTTTGTTTTATGCGCACCATAATGTATTTTCCCACATGGTTGGGGGGTCAGACTAGATGGCCTTTGGAATTTTCTCCAAAACTGGTTTTTGACCAGAACTATTAGCCAAATTCTGTTAGTTCAACTCCTTTGGGAAGAAAAACAAAGAGCCTTTGAGTGTCTGGGTTGGTAGATATACACTGCCCTCTGGTGGATGCTGGAGGGATATCTCCATTATTATTATTATTATTATTATTATTATTATTATTATTATTATTATTATTATTATTTGATACACAACAAGATGAGTCCACAGCAAACAAGATCACTCTACTGGCTGTTGTATTGGATCACACATCGGGCACTTCCCAAGTGTCTAGGATTGTGTGATGTATTGGCGTATAATGCGTGCAGATCTGAGTAGGGTAGCCTTTTGCAGCTGACAGATGTGTTTAAGTGCAGGCCAAGGTCTTGAGGCACTGCACCCAGTGTGCCGATCACCACTGGGACCCCGTTGACTGGCTTGTGCCAGAGACTTTGCAGTTCGATCTTTAAATCCTCATATTGTATCAGCTTTTTCTGTTCAATCCTGAGGTCGCCTGGGATTGCAACATCGGCGATCCATACTTGGTGTTATTATTATTATATTTATTTATACTTCACTATATCTCTCCTAATGAAGACCCAACACGGCTTGATATAAGAGCATTACTATACAATTTAAAATATCCAAATATGCAAATATGAAGAACAAAATAATACCATTTTGGGAACCCAAAAAAAATGGGGGTGCGACTGTTATGTGAGGAACACAAAATGCCATTGTGGGCACTCAAAAAATGGATTTGTGACTATTAGGCAAGAAACACAAACACACCATTTTGGACAAATGGGGGTGCGGCTATTACCAGAGGAACACAAAAATACCATTTTGGGCACTCAAATATGGGGGCACGACAATGATGTGAGGAACAGAAAAATACCATTTGGAGCACTCAAATATGGGGGTGCGACTATGATGCAAAGAACAGAAAAATACCAATTTGGGCACTCAAATATGGGGGCGTGACTATGAGGTGAGGAACAGAAAAATACCATTTTGGGCACTCAAATATGGGGGCGCGACTTTGATATGAGGAACAGAAATATACCATTTGGGCACTCAAATAYAGGGGCACGACTATGATGTGAAGAACAGAAAMATACAATTTGGGGTACTCAAATATGGGGGCACGACTATGATGTGAGGAACAGAAAAATACAATTTTGGGCACTCAAATATGGGAGTGCGACTATTACCAGAGGAACACAAAAATACCATTTTGGGCACTTAAATATGAGGGTGCAACTATTACCAGAGGAACAAAAAGTACCATTTTGGGCACTCAAATATGGGGGCACGACTATGATGTGAGGAACAGAAAAATACCATTTTGGGCACTCAAATATGGGGGCACGACTATGATGTGAAGAACAGATAAATACCATTTGGGCACTCAAATATGGGGGCACAACTATGATGTGAGGAACAGAAAAATACCATTTTGGGCACTCAAATATGGGGGCAYGACTTTGATGTGGGGAACAGAAAAATACCATTTGAGGCACTCAAATATGAGGGCGCGACTATGATGCAAAGAACAGAAAAATACCATTTGGGGCACTCAAATATGGGACATGACTATGAGGTGAGGAACAGAAAAATACAATTTTGGGCACTCAAATATGGGGGCGCGATTATGATGTGAGGAACAGAAAAATACCATTTTCGGCTCTCAAATATGGGGCACGACTATGATGTGAGGAACAGAAAAATACCATTTTGATCACTCAAATATGGGGGGGGGGTGCGACTATTACCAGAGGAACACAAAAATACCATTTTGGGCACTCAAATATAGGTGCACAACTATGATGTGAGGAACAGAAAAATACCATTTGGGGCACTCAAATTTGGGGGCGCGACTATGATGTGAGAAACAGAAAAATACCATTTTGGGCACTCAAATACGGTGCGCGACTATGATGTGAGGAACAGAAAAATACCATTTGGAGCACTCAAATATGGTGGCACGACTATGAGGTGAGGAACAGAAAGATACCATTTGGGGCACTCAAATATGAGGGCGCGACTATGATGTAAGGAACAGAAAAATACCATTTTGGGCACTCAAACATGAGGGTGCGACTATTACCAGAGGAACACAAAAATAACATTTTGGGCACTCAAATATGGAAGCGCGACTATGATGTGAGGAGCAGAAAAATACCATTTTGGGCACTCAAATATGGGGGCGTGACTATGATGTGAAGAACAGAAAAATACATTTTGGGCACTCAAATATGGGGGTGTGACTATCATTTTGGACACTATTATGCAGTAGCGACTATTACGCGATGAAATACGGGTATTTTGACTTTTATTTTTATAGATATAGATTCCAAGACATTTTTAGACACACTTATGGGTGGGGGGCATATCTTAGAATCAGTGAAACCGGGCAGTTAGAAGGATGGACTCTTCTTTGAATGTCCAAGGTTCGTGTTCAGTGATCCGCGGACGGCTCCGTGTCCCCGCTTTCAAGAGGATCAGTCAAATGTTTGGGGTCCTGAACAGGAAGACGATCAGCAGTAGGCAAGGTCCCGTCTTTGGGCTTGTACACGAAACTTGCGGGGTTCCCTTTGGAGCGGAGGAGGCTGGAGTGGACTCGTTGTGGGTAGCTGTCCTCGGCCAGGAGCTGAGAGGACTCCCCCGAGACCAAGAAAAGGCCATAGGCTTCGCGCTCGGAAATGCTGTACTTCTCTGCACAGATCGCACAGACGGAGGCCGTGGTCATCTCAGCGGTGACCGAGACGGTCTTCTGGTTGTTGAAGGGTTCGTGGAAGGAGATGTAGAGGATGTTCTGAAAAGGAGAAAGACAACGGTCACTTTATAGACAGACATCTAAATTTTTCCCGATTCAATAATTTGCAGATTTGTTTACGGTTTTATGTATTTTTTAAAAATAAACCTTGCGTTTAACTCTATGTTAATGTTTGTATGCTTTGGCTTTTAATTTACATACTGTATGATTTCTAAATACCAATGCTAAAAATAATGATAGTAATTAGCAGAATATAATCCTAATAACACTAATACTATTACTACTGATACTAATAACACTAATACTAATAACACTAATACTAATAACACTAATACTAATTAGTCCGCCTCCAAGAACATGACTGCATCAAGTGCCATTCATTACTGAAACGGTATCTATTGATCTACTCTCATTTGCATATTTTCAAACTGCTAGGTTGGCAGAAGCTGGGGCTAACAGTGGGAGCTCACCCCACTCCCCAGATTCGTACCTGCGACCTTTCGGTTAGCAAGTTTAACCCACTGCACCATCGGGAAGAAGAGGACCGGGAAAATTAGAAGGAGATTAAATACAACTCCTGAAATCACTCTAGTCCACACATGTGCAAACTTTGGCCCTCCAGGTGTTTTGGACTTCAATTCCTATCATTCCTAACAGCCGTGTAATGAATGAAATCACACCAAATAATAACAACACTAATGAGTAGGATATATTAATAATGATACTAATACTAACACTATGATATTAATAATATGCTCTCTCCAGGACTCTGATCTTTCAATACAGAGTTGGGCAGGAAAGGTGTATAAAAGGAAGTGGTGGAAAGGTGTACAAAAGTCAGTAGTGTCTTTCTTTGCTGCAGTGATACAAGCAATATATCCATTTCAAAGCAAAACCGGCTTGTGAGTGGTCATTTAATATTTCTATATAGATCCTACAGTCTTACAGGTTACTAGAGTGAACTTTTTTCTAGCATTTATTTTGATGTTGGAGCCTCCGGTGGTGCAATGGGTTAAACCTTTGTGTGGCAGGACTGAAGACTGACAGGTCGTAGGTTCTAATCCGAGGAGAGCGTGGATGAGCTCCCTCTGTCAGCTCCAACTCCCCATTCAGGGACTTGAAAGAAGCCTCCCACGAGGATGGTAAAACATCAAAACATCCAGGTGTCCCCTGGGCAACGTCCTTGCAGGTGGCCAATTCTCTCACACCAGAAGCGACTTGCAGTTTCTCAAGTCGCTTCTGACATGAAAAATAATCGATGTCAGACTTCATATCCACAAGATTTATATCTTGTGTATATTGGCATGGAGCCTTGTCTCCTGGTCTTTTCACCCATCTCTGGGGCTTAGACTCAGGGGGTTTGGTTCCCAAGATATTTTGCACCCCCTTTCTTACCTGCGAATGGCGGCGTATGGGGTGGTGGTGGTGCGGGTGGATGGTGCGCCTCCGGTGCCACTGGTGGATGGACCGCTGGGCCTCGATGCTGATTTGCCGCGTGATCATGGCAGCCGGTTGGAAGTTGGCAATATGGAAGAGGGCCCCGAACCAGGTGGTGAGGTAGTATCCACCTAAGCCACGGCAAAAGGAAAATGCAAACATAGGAGTGGAGGGCACGAGCTCAAGAAGGCTACACTTTGACCACTCTTGTATGTCAAATGCTTCCTGGAGGAGAATTCCATCTTGCTGGAACCATAATGTACTTCCTTCCGGGCAGATCACTGTTGTCCAATTAATTCCATTATTTGCCAGGAGCAAAACAGGGAAGTTTGGACCAAAGTTTTACATTACACTGGACCATGTCCGCATGTTCCTGATATAGAAGGACATAACTGCATGTTCCTTATATAGAAGGGACATCATCCGGTCAATTTTAACTTGTGAATTTTAACCTCCATTTTAATTACATATATACATGTGTCTGTGTATGTGCTTTTATATGTATAATATAGATATTCATAGATATTATATATACATATTATAGATAGATAGATAGATATTATATATAGATATTATATATAGATATTATAGATATTTATATACTAGCTATCCCCTTCCACGCATTGCTGTGGCCCAGTCTGTGTATATGTGTTTTTTGTGTGTATATATTTGTGTATATGTGTGTTTGCGTATGTGTGTATATATATATATATGTGTGTGTGTGTGTGTGTGGTTTTGCACATGCATTGTAATGTATTTTTTTTGTTTTTTGGCTTTTTAAGTCCCTTCTGCTGTGTTTTTCAGCGTTTTTATGAGTGATGGTCACTTGTTGGCCTGATAGGTGTATTGTGTCCAAATTTGGTGTCAATTCCTCCAGTGGTTTTTGATTTATGTTTACCCCACAAACGAACATTACCTTTTTATTTATATAGATAGATACTAGCCGTCCTCTGCCAGGCGTTGCTGTGGCCCAGTCTGTGTATATGTGTTTTGTGTGTGTATATATATATGTGTTTGCATATATTTGTGTATTTGTGTGTTTGTATGTGTACATGCATATTGTGTATATGTATGTGCTTGTCTATATGTATATTTGTGTGTGTATATGTATGTGTATGTAAGTATATATGTATATCTGTATATCTGCATGCATGTGCATGTGTATATGTGTGTATATATGTATATTTGTGTGTTCATGTGTATATGTGTGTGTATGTATATGTATGTGTGTGTATATGTGTATATTTGTGTGTGTTTGTACATATATATATATATATATATATATATATATATATATATATGTGCATGTGTGTATATGTATATGAGTGTATGTGTATATGTATATATGGGGTATTTTTGTGTGTGTGTGTTTTTAGGGGTGATGGACACTCGTTGGACTGTTAGGTGTCTTGTGTCCAAATTTCGTGTCAATTCGTCCAGTGGTTTTTGAGTTATGTTAATCCCACAAACAAACATTACATTTTTATTTATATAGATATAGTGTATGTAAGTATATGTGTGTGTGTGTGTGTGCGAGGTCTTACAACCTCTCAGGACGCTTGCCATAGATGCAGGCAAAACGTCAGGAGAGAATGCTTCTAGAACATGGCCATATAGCCCAAAAAACCTACACCAACCCAGTGATTCCAGCCATGAAAGCCTTTGACAATACAATGGAACGATTGCTTCAAACTACAGGAAAGGAGATTCCACCAGAACACTAGGAAGAACTTACTCACTGTGAGAGAGAGAGAGCTGTTCAGCAGTGGAACTCTCTGCCCCAGAGTGTGGTGGAGGTTCCTTCTTTGGAAGCTTTTAAACAGAGGCTGGATGGCCATCTGTCGGGGGTGCTTTGAATGTGATTTTCCTGCTTCTTGGCAGAATGGGGTTGGACTGGATGGCCCAGGAGGTCTCTTGCAACTCAAGGATCCTGTGATTCTTACCTTCTCCCTGCAGCTGGCTGGGATCCATCAGCTCCATCATGTACTCCACATCCAACTGTACCGAAACGATGTCGCAGTTCACCAGCATATAGATCAGAACCGGCAGGAAATCGTCAGCTCCGAACGGCTCTTCCAGAAGCAGAAAATGGGAGAGTATTATAGAGGGTATCAAACCGTGTTAAGTCTGCAGTGTAGATGCACCTAGGGCTAGTCTTATTAGCCTACTTTCCTATATAGAAGTTACATTTCTTTTTAGGGCTGCTGCTCCCAGGCTTCCATGGGAGTGAAAGCGGTATCAAACTGCATTAAGTCTGCAGTGCAGATGCACCTAAGGCTAGTCCTATTCGCCCACTTTCCTATATAGAAGTTACTTTTCCCTTTAGGGTGGGACGCTCGCAGAATTCCATAGGAGTTAAAGCAGTATCAAACTGTGTTAAGTCTGCAGTGCAGATACACCTAGGGTTAGTGTTACAAAGATAGGAGATATTTGCAAATGTTACAGTTAAAATAGATAAAAAAAAATGGGCCCATTTCATTCTCATTTTGCAAGTGTGTTGAATAAATTCTATGGAATGCTTGTCATAGAGTTGCATTGAATGACCTAGCAAAGTCAAGAGGGAATTCAATAGCACGAAAACTTTTGCAGGGAAAACTATATTATTATTATTATTAATCTTCCCACTGGTCACAGGTTCAAAACCCAGATTATGTTTCTTTTAATCCTGTTTTAATGTTTACATCTTGATATATTTTAAATTGTATGAAAATGCTTTTATGTTATTATTATTAATATTATTACTATTACTATTACTAATCTTCCCACTGCTCACAAGTTCAAATGCTTGACTTTTCCAGATTATGTTTCTTTTAATCCTGTTTTAATGTTTGCATCTTGGAATATTTTAAATTGTATGCAAATGCTTTTATGTTTAGCTGCTTTGAGTCTCCTTCGGGAAAGATAAAGCGGGATATTATTATTATTATTATTATTATTATTATTATTATTATTATTAGAAACACAACAAGATGAGTCCACGGCAGACACTCTGCTGGCTGTTGAATTGGATCACATGTCGGACACTTCCCAAGTGTCTAGGACTGTGTGATGTATCGGCGAATAATGCGTGCAGATCTCAGTAAGGTGGCCTTTTGCAGCTGGCAGCTGGTAATCTTGTCAGCGCCGATTGTGTTTAAGTGCAGGCCAAGGTCTTGAGGCACTGCACCCAGTGTGCCGATCACCACTGGGACCACCTTGACTGGTTTGTGCCAGAGAGTTTGCAGTTCGATTTTTAAATCCTCATATCGTGTCAGCTTTTCCAGTTGTTTCTCTTCAATCCTGCTGTCACCTGGGATTGCAACATTGACAATCCATACTTTGTTTTTTAACACAATTGTGAGGTCAGGAGTGTTATGCTCCAAAACTCTATCTGAATCTGGAAGTCCCAGAGGAGTTTGGCGTGTTCGTTTTCTGTAACTTTTTCCGGCTTGTGATCCCACCAGTTCTTTGTCGCAGGCAGATGGTGTTTGCGGCACAAGTTCCAATGAATCAACTGAGCAATGATGTTGTGCCTCTGCTTGGAGTCTGTCCCCACAATCTTCTTGCAGCAGCTCAGGATGTGATCTATTGTTTCATCTGCTTCCTTGCAGAGTCTACATTTGGGATCTGTTGTCGACTTTTCAATTCTGGCTCTGATGGAATTTGTTGTAATGGCTTGTTCTTGGGCTGCCGGAATCAGGCCCTCCTTTGTCTCCTTTTTCAGAGTCCCATTTGTGAGCCACAGCCATGTTTTTCCTTTGTCAATTTGGCTCTCAATGTTTCCCAGGAACTGTCCATGGAGAGAGCGCCTTCTTTGCCCAGGTTTCTCTTCTGCTCTGGATTGTGTTTTTACAGTATTCCCTCTTTGTCTTTTGCACTTTAAGCAGTTTTCTGCTATTGACTTCCCTCAATGTTGGTTCTTGACTGCCTTTCCCATCATCTGCCAGTGCGTGTTCCTCTTCTTCTACTGTTTGTTTCACTTGCAGAAGCCCTCGTCTCTCTGCCTCCTGATTTTCTGGGCAGGTCAAGTCTGTCAACATCACTCCACAGGTGTAATGCGTAGTAGATTGTCATCGGTTTCTTGTTTTTCTGTCCAGATCATCCAGCTCTGCTTGTGTCCAGTTCACAATCCCAGCAGTGTATCTAATGACAGGGATGGCCCAGGTGTTGATAGCCTTGATTGTATTTCCGCCATTTAATTTGCTCTTCAAAACCTTTCTGACTCTTTGGATATATTCTTTGCTAACCACATTTTCCACTTGCCCATGCTTGATATTGTAGTATGCCCAGATATTTATATTGTGCTATCACGCGCTGGGCCTGTGAAAGAGTCTGTAGACAGGACGTGTTTTCTGAATGCCCAACGGGATGCCGGGGGTGCCTCGGCTGAGAGGCCCTTCGGATTTCCCCACACAAAGTTCTTTAAAGACTTAGTTTTTATTGTTGCTTAAATCTTCAATAAATCAAACAGATACTACAAGGCTTTGAATCAACTGGTGGCTTGCTTAAATCTTGTCCACAAGGGATGGGCAACTTTCTTTGTAAACTATTTCTTCCTCCTACAAGGGAAATCCTTGACCCCTCCCTGGGCAATCTGACTTAAGCTCTGCTGGCATGGGCACCTACACCCGGTCCAAATTGCGTTATGGCTGCTGTGAGTGGTCCTTACCAAACAGAGTCCTTTAGTAGATTTCCAAGAGGAAAGAAGGCTTTCAATTCCCAGCTGTAGAGTTGTGGAACTAAATTCCCCAACAAAGGCTCTGGGACTGGATCCCCCAAGCAAAAGCTGTAAAAGACGAAGCTTTCTACAGGTGGAACCGATTCACGTCCTGTACGAAAGGCTTCTCTGTGTGAACTGAACACACAGGTTCCCTTTTCCCCACCTTAACCCAGAAAAAGGGGCGGAACTAAAGAACATAATGATAATTGATGGGTCATTGGCCCTATGATTGCAAACCAAAGGTAGCCACCTTATTGCAAAATGCATGGAACTTTGGAATAGCGGAACTAAAGAACATAATGATAATTGATGGGTCATTGGCCCTATGATTGCAAACCAAAGGTAGCCACCTTATTGCAAAATGCATGGAACTTTGGAATAGCGGAACTAAAGAACATAATGATAATTGATGGGTCATTGGCCCTATGATTGCAAACCAAGGGAAGCCACCTTATTGCAAAATGCATGGAACTTTGGAATACATGCAAACACCCAATAGAAAGGAAAAGAAGCTGGAGCCATACCAGCACATTTATTATTATTATTATTAATAATAATAATAATAATAATAATAATAATAATAATAATCAGGGACAATTTTAGAAGACAGAAAGATCAACGTGAACACCACATGATAAGAATCCATTTGCATATGGAAATTCTTTAAATGTTAGAGAATATGTATAACAATTTCCTCCCCGGTGATACAAGAGATTCCTGTAAAGAATTATCCTATTTTTCTATCTCCCATCCTTATTTCCCCCTTCCTTTTCCCCTCTTTCCTTGATGTCATAAAACTGTGAAAATAAAATTATAAAAAATTGCAAACAAAACCAAATGAAAATATAAAGTTATTCTATCCTATACCTGTTCTGCCAGGAGTCTGGTTCATGGTTTCGTAGAGCATCTTGCAGATCTTCAGCATTTGTGTCTCCTTCTTTCGGGGCGAATAGGCCTGGTGCAAGAGGCTGAGCTTGGTCTGCAGGCGCTCCAAGCCGGCCGAGTCCGGCACCCCGGAAGCCACCCCCATCTCGGCCAGGCTCTGCTCACGCATAGTAGCCTGGTGCCCGCGCAGCTTGTCCAGAGTCCCGTCTTGGGAGCGAAAGTCCTGCAGCTGGGCGTAAACCAAATCCCGGAGTGGCTTGAGGATGCACTTGTACAAGGTGCCTTCCACCACGTAACCTGGCAGGAAGGAACCAAAGAGAGGGAAAGTGTTTGTGTGACTTTGACAGCGGAGCAGGTCAATGCCCACCTAACACTTCCAGTATTTTCTGTTGGTCATGGGAGTTCTGTGTTGATTCAATTCTATCATTGGTGGAGTTCAGAATGCTCTTTGATTGTAGGTGAACTATAAATCCCAGCAACTACAACTCCCAAATGTCAAGGTCTATTTTCCCCAAACTCCACCAGTGTTCACATTTGGGCATATTGAGTATCCGTGCCAAGTCTGGTCCAGATCCATCATTGTTTGAGTCCACAGTGCTCTCTGGATGTAGATGAACTACAACTCCAAAACACAAGGTCAATGGCCACCAAACCCTTCCAGTATTTTCTGTTGCTCATGGGAGTTCTGTGTGCCAAGTTTGGTTCAATTCCATCATTGGTGGGCTTCAGAAGGCTCTTTGATTGTAGGTGAACTATACATCCCAGCAACTACAACTCCCAAATGTCAAGTCTATTTTTCTCCAAACGCCACCAGTGTTCACATTTGGGCATATTGAGTATCCATGCCAAGTCTGGTCCAGATCCATCATTGTTTGAGTCCACTGTGCTCTCTGGATGTAGGTGAACTACAACTCCAAAACTCAAGGTCAATGCCCACCTAAAACTTCCAGTATTTTCTGTTGGTCATGGGAGTTCTGTGTTGATTCAGTTCTATCATTGGTGGAGTACAGAATGCTCTTTGATTGTAGGTGAACTATAAATCCCAGCAACTAGAATTCCCAAATGACAAAATCCAGAGTGCTCGCTGGATGTAGGTGAACTATAACTCCAAAACTCAAGGTCAATGCCCACCTAAAACTTCCAGTATTTTCTGTTGGTCATGGGAGTTAAGTGTTGATTCAGTTCTATCATTGGTGGAGTTCAGAATGCTCTTTGATTGTAGGTGAACTATACATCCCAGCAACTACAACTCCCAAATGTCAAGTCTATTTTTCTCCAAACTCTACCAGTGTTCATATTTGGGCATATTGAGTATTTGTGCCAAGCCTGGTCCAGATCCATCATTGTTTGAGTCCACAGTGCTCTCTGGAGCTAGGTGAACTACAACTCCAATACTCAAGGTCAGTGCCCATCAAACCCTTCCAGTATTTTCTGTTGGTCATGTGAGTTCTGTGTTGATTCAATTCTATCACTGGTGGAGTTTAGAATGCTCTTTGATTGTAGGTGAACTATAAATCCCAGCAACTACAACCCCCAAATGACAAAATCATTTTTCTTTCCTGTTTAAATGAGGCTGGCTTGGTGCCTTGTTTGTGTTTTCTTTCCCCTTCTTCCTCCAACGGCTTTTGCCGGATATGGCGCTGCCTCCTGCCGAGAGCCCCGACCACAACGAAGCCGGTGGTTTCGTGAACGTTGTGCTCCTGCTTACGTGGAAGCTCGCAGTGTTGCAAGCCGGCTGTGGCCCAAACATACAAACCACAGAGATAATTTGGGCTGCTTGGAGACATGGTGATGAGACATATCAATAATCAGCTTGCTCATAAATCAACCTAGTGCATTTCCACTTTGGGAGCAGAAAAATGTGAACACTGGTGGAGTGTGGGGAAAATAGACCTTGACATTTGGGTGTTGTCGTTGCTGGGATTTATAGTTCACCTACAATCAATGAGCATTCTGAACCCCACCAACGATAGAATTGGGCCAAACTTTCCACACAGAACCTCCATAACCAACAGAAAATACTGGAAGGGTTTGGTGGTCATTGACCTTGAGTTTTGGAGTTGTAGTTCACCTACATCCAGAGAGCACTGTGGACTCAAACAATGATGGATCTGGACCAAACTTGGCACGAATACTCAATATGTCCAAATGTGAACACTGGTGGATTTTGGGGAAAATAGACTTGACATTTGGGTGTTGTTGTTGCTGGGATTTATAGTTCACCTACAATCAAAGAGCGTCCTGAACCCCACCAACGATAGAATTGGGCCAAACTTCCCACACAGAAACTTGATAACCAACAGAAAATACTGGAAGGGTTTGGTGTTCATTGACCTTGAGTTTTGGAGTTGTAGTTCACCTACATCCACTCTGGAGTCAAACAATGATGGATCTGGACCAAACTTGGCACAAATACGCGATATGACCAAATGTGAACACTGGTGTAGTTTGGGGAAAATAGACTTGACGTTTGGGTGTTGTTTGTTGCTGGGATTTATAGTTCACCTACAATCAAAGAGCATTCTGAACCCCACCAACAATAGAATTGGGCCAAACTTCCCACACAGGACCCCCATAAGCAACAGAAAATACTGGAAGGGTTTGGTAGGCATTGGCCTTGAGTTTTGGAGTTGTAGTTCACCTACATCCAGCGAGCACTCTGGAGTCAAACAATGATGGATCTGGACGAAACTTGGCACAAATACTCAGTATTCCCCAATGTGAACACTGGTGGAGTGTGGGGAAAATAGAGCTTGACATTTGGCTGTTGTCGTTGCTGAGATTTATAGTTCACCGACAATCAAAGAGCATTCTGAACCCCACCAACGATAGAATTGCACCAAACTTCCCACACAGAACCCGCATAACCAACAGAAAATATTCGAAAGGTTTGGTGGGCATTGACCTTGGGTTTTGGAGTTGTAGTTCACCTACATCCAGTGAGCACTCTGGATTTTGTCATTTGGGAATTCTAGTTGCTGGGATTTATAGTTCACCTACAATCAAAGAGCATTCTGAATTCCACCAATGATAGTACTGAATCAACACAGAACTCCCATGACCAACAGAAAATACTGGAAGTGTTAGGTGGGCACTGACCTTGAGTTTTGGAGTTGTAGTTCACCTAGCTCCAGAGAGCACTGTGGACTCAAGCAATGATGGATCTGGACCAAACTTGGCATGAATACTCAATATTCCCAAATGTGAACACTGGTGGAGTTTGGGGAAATAGACCTTGACATGCCGATGGTCTTTGGCGACCCCTCTGACACCCCCTTGCCTGACTCCGAGGTTGAGAAACGCTGTCTTAAATGCATTCTAACTGTACCCTCAACTTGCTTCAGACATGATAAATACTTAATTCAATTTCAAACTGGTACTAAAGAAAATGATTTCTCTGTGCAGATGATTACAGAGCAAATCCTGGAACCAGTTTGAAGCCTGGATGGTGATAACACAAACCTCAGAGCAGTGATGCACATTAAGGGCATTCATTTGTGTGCTTTTGAGGTCATTTCCAATCTAGCCACTGCAATTTGAACCTAGCTTTGAACTGCAATGTAAATCAATAGCTGTTTAGCAATCAGAACATTCTTAACATGGAGGAACCTCGAGACCGACTCCAGGTCCAAGCCCAGCTCCAAAACCTTCCCCGTTCCATACCCAGGTCCATGTCCTCCGCCTCGTAGTGTTCGCAGATGACCTGCAGCTCTGAGCTTTCGCACAAGTAGCCCTTGAGGTTGCTGATCATCTGCCGGATCTCCTGCAGCATCTCGGTGCTGGTGGGGTGCCGCAACCCACCGCCCTGGAGAAGGTGCCCGACGAAGCTCTGCACCAAGCCTCCCACGTATGAGGAGGGGTCCTGGGCCAGCTCTTGCACCCTCTTGGAGATCCGACGATCAGCGGAGAGGAAGCCACCTAGGACCAAGCTCACGGCGGAGAGGCGCCGGAACACCTTGGTGCTTAAGACGGCAGAGGAGCAAGGCCGCCTCTTGTGCACTGCAGCCGGAGTGGACGGCAGGCCCTCGGCTTCGTCCTCCACACTGCTGATGGACAGCGAGTCCAGCTCTGGGATGAGAGGCAGTGACAGGGTGTCGCTCAGAAGGGAGGACTCAGAGCTGGACTTCTTCAGCGGCCAAGCGGGAAAGGCATTGGCCGGGGCACCTTCGATCCAGGAGACGCGGTGCGGGGACCTGATGTCCTTCTGGGTATTAGGGGACGAGGGCAGATCATCGGGGAGGGTTTCGGAACTGTTCCAGGATGGACTGCGAAGGAGGAGCCGCCGTTGAGTGGAGGCCGAGGGAGTCAAAGGGTCACCTGGAAAACAGCACCATGACGCTGGTGAAATTACAGCATTCTGGCCTTAGATTTCAAAATGTGTGTGGTACTTTTATTTATATTCCTGTCGCAACTCAGGATAGATTCACCTTGCTCAGAACACTACCACACACCAAGGCTGTAGGTTTTGTTGCAATCCAGAGCAGGAAACGAGGCCCTAAGATAACTATCCACCACACTTGACTGTGAAAAAACAATCCTTTTTTATTGAAGAAAAATGGTTACAAAATAAAGGAAAAATGCAAAGTCAAAAGCCACAGCAAAATCAGCAAACATGAATGTCCATGAACAAGATCAAAACCCAAAGCCATACTGTAAAATACTGGAACCTGTTAGCAATCCACTAACCGTACTTGGTGTCCTAGAAATCTTTCAAGACGATGGCCAGGGAAACCGGGAGAACTGCCAAGGTCTTTATCAATCTAAAACGATGCCTGAACTGAGAAAGTCAGCCCGGCGGAAGGCACTTAAAGCAAAGGAATTGGTTTCGTGAAACGCCTCCCTGCTTTGAAGCCGTTGTTTGTTTTTCTTTTAATCTGGAAGACCTTCGCAAGCTGAGTGATTTACTCCTGTCTTGCCAGATCTGGCCCCTTCTATTCTCATTAAGGTTCCCAGGTGCAGAAGGGAGTGAAAGGTCATGGCTTCCCTCTGAAACATTCTCATGAACACTGGTACTTTCATTTTCCAAATCTACAGAAGTTTCTTCTTCACTAATTTCAGGAGCATTGACATCAAGAAGTACATTTTCATTAGCACCAGGAAGTACATTTTCATTAGCATCAGTAAATATATTTTCATTAGCATCAGGAGGAACAAACAGAGAATCAGGTTCAAGTTCAAACTCAGGCTGAACCCCAACAGGTTTTGTAGTTTACTAAAGAAAAAGCAAAATCATAAACATAGAAATAAAGTTGGAAAAGTTCCATTCAAAGTGTCTTAAATGCAAAGCCAAGTTTCCAAGGTCCAAAGGCAAATAATATGAAGTATAATCCACTAGCATTGATCAAACAAGAATCCATGGCAGCATGACAAAGTCCCCAAAAACCAAGATCAAAACCAAAGTCCCAAAGAGCCAAAAGCTTTCCCCAAAAGCCGGGACAATTTCAGAGAAGTTAACAGGGTGTAAGCAACGTTGCACTGACAAAGGACTGACTTCAATCAAATTGTTAAATATGTTTCTCTAGCATTACGTTGACCTCAAACTTCCCGTTTGTTAGCAAGCCGAGCACTTTGGCGTACCCTTAATTGCAAACGGTCTTCCCTAATCAAATTTCCACCACCTTCAAGGTCGAATAACTCATTATCCTGGGACTGGTCACCCTGGGAACCGAGAGGCACTGAGCTCCCAGATGGAGCGGCCGACTCCTCCACCTGCAGCTGTGAAGTATCACTTAAATCAACATTCCTTTCTCTGGGAAACAGAAACACCGTCTCTTCTTCAGTATCGACACTGTCTGCTTCTATAATAGGAACATGTTCAGAAATCTGGAACCCATCATCCTCCTCGTCCTGAGGAAACTCAGGCTCAGAAACTTCAGGCTCAGACTGAGCCACAACAATTCCGTCCTTCTCACCCCGCAGGGGACTCAGGGTGGATTACATTGCACATATACATGGCAAACATATACACGGCACCGGGACTGTGGTGCAGCTGGCTGGGAGTCAGCTGCATTAAGATCACTAAGATCACTACTGACCTAAGGGTCATGAGTTCGAAGCCAGAGCGGGTCAGAGTGAGCTTCCGACCATTGTGTGTAGCTTGCTGTCGACCCAAGCATTCCGAAAGACAGTTGCATCTGTCAAGTAGGAAATCTAGGTACCGTTTTATGCGGGGAGGCTAATTTAACTACCGCTTACTCCGACGCGGGCTGGCTTCGAACTCATGACCTCTCAGTCAGTAGTGATTTAATGCAGCTGGCTACTAACTAGCTGCACCACAGCCCAGTCCACTGTAGGGGGAAAACCTTCACCCATACATCAAGGGAACCACTGACTGCATGCCGTGTTTTGGTGAAAACCATCAGTGCTACAGCACAACAAAATGTGGGAATGCACTTAGGAGGAGGAACCTTGAGACGCTAATGTGGGATTCATGGGAGTCTCATCGCTCTTCCTTACCTTTCAGTGCCTTCTCCTCTCCCTCCAGAGATCTGGGACGATTCTGACTCTGTTGGCAGACTCCTGGCTCCCTGGATGCCGCTTTGGTGGAGCCGTTGGACACCTGGAGAGGCCCTCTTCTGCTGGCCAAGCGGCAGGGTCCGGGCGCAAGGTCAAGCCAACTGACGTCGCTGTGCACCGAGAGGAAGAGCGGGTTGATGATGCAGAGCGCCTTGTCCTCAGATGTCACTCGGATGGAGCAAGACGGTTGGCCGTCCTCAGGAGGTCCTCCGTTGGAACAAGTGGGATCCTCTTCTTCTTTGGCCGGTGGCAGCCGGTTGCCGGACTTAAGGGGCATTGTCCAGAATTCTGCCAAAGAAGGAAGGGAAGATACTCAGATGTCTGCCTTTTTTATCTGCTGTGTTTTTGGGAGGCTTTTAACATAGAGTTGGACTAGGATGCCAAGAGAGCAGGATCCAAATCCTTACTCAGTGAACCTCAAAGATACCTATAAACCAGAGTTTCTCACCCTTCCTAATGCTGAGACCCCTTAATGCAGATCCTCATGTTGTGGTGACCCCCAACCATAACATTATTTACGTTGCTACTAGGATCCAAATCCTTATTTAGTGAACCCCTAAGATACCTATAAACCAGTGATTCTCACCCTTCCTAAAGCCATGACTCCCTAATGTAGTTCCTCATGTTGTGGTGACCCCCAACCATAACATTATTTATGTTGCTACTTCATAACTGTGATTTTGCTACTGTTATGAATCAGAACGTAAATATTTGATATGCAAAGCCAAAACCTTCCTGATTCTTAATACCAAAGAATCCACCTTCCCCTGTAGTTCATTAACTACAGGATACCTCACTGGTTCCCCACACAACAGAACCAGCCACCTCTGCAATCCACCGACCACAGACTGATTGCTTTAAAATGGCTGCTCTGCCAAATGGCAGTTGGCTCCGCCCCTATCTCCATACCAACTCAGCTCAAAGCGAGCTAAGCTGGCTACCATCCCCCAATATTATGCAATACTATATACTTACCCTTACAAACACTTATCTATAACAATACATAACTGTAGATAAAAATTTACACTTCATCACACCAACAGACCTCACAACTTCTGAGGATGCCTGCCATAGATGTGGACGAAACGTCAGAAGAGAATGCTTCTAGAACATGGCCTTATAGCCCGAAAAACCTACAACAACCTAGTGATTCCAGCCATGAAAGCCTTCGGCAATACTTAAACAATAAATTGCACTCACTCATGCCCAGTGCAGCAACGGCATACAGTTGAGATTTGCATGGAAGTTGGAATGCGTCTGGGAGCCTGAGCTGGCAAGGCAGGATATCCCTAGAAAAGGTAAACACCAAATACCAAGGTTTCAGCAAGTGTCTTCAGGGCTTCACAGTGACCGTTATAGGCAAACACCAAATACATTATCCAAGGGAGTAACTGGAATCACAACAAAGAGGGTGTTCCGTCTTCCGGGAGCTTGGTTTGCATTGCCCCTTAGTTGCATAAAATAGCATCCCTTTGCATTTTCCCCCAGGGTTGCTACAGTCTCAGCAGCACCCTGAAAGTTAAACATTAACAGAGGCTGGAAGCCAGCCTGCAAGCCTCTTGCTGCTATTGGTTTAAAAAAGTATCCTTTTGGTCTAGAGACCGCCCTTTTTCCTGGGGATGAAATCTCCATTTTGGAAAAGCTCTCCTGCCTTCTTTAGTAGAGAAAAAGCCTCAGATGTGCTGGTGGCCAAGCTAGGCAGCTCGGACAAGCCATTGTGAGTACGGTTACCCTCTCGCCTTTGAAACTGGTGCTGAGCTCAGATAAAGAAAGACCTGCTCTTTCTAAAGGATAGCAGCTCAGCGCTGGGGCAGGGAATATCTCAGGATTTCGCTGCCATTGGGAGAGGTTCCATTACTTCATCTCCAAAACTAACCTTGAGCTTGGATAGGGGAAGACCTGCTCTTTCTGAAAGATAGCAGCTCAGGGTTAGGGTAAAAGATCCCAGGATTTTTCTACCATTGGGGGAAAGTTAACTTGGCAACTGAAGGAAAAGGGAAAGAAAGAACATCTATATGGTTTCCTAAATTGACTGTTTGTGTTTGTAACTTCATCAAGCTGTGCCAAGTCTGTCAAGGACTTTGAGAAATAAATGTTCTGTGCTGGTACGGCTGTACCAAGAGCTCCAACTTTATTTTCTTTCTGTTCTCTGTTTGCAGTCATAGGGCAGGCCTCCTGTCCATCATAATTAAGCTTTGGTTCCGCCCCTTGTTCAGGGCTCTGGGAGGGAAAGGAGCAATTTTTGGGCAGTCTCTCATAAGGAAGCTAAGCTATAGGACGTAGACCAGCTCGTCCCGTAGAAAAGCTTCTTTTCTCAAGAGCATCCAGGGGAACAGACCATCCGGGGAAACAGAAAGAGAAATTCCAGGGAAAAGGTCCCAAAGCTCTGGCTCACAGCCTCTCAGCCTCACAGCAAACAGAGGGAAAACAGCCCTGAAGTTTCAAAGAATTCTCGGAGGGAGGACAGCATTACAGATCCACAGAACTGCAGCTGAAATATCTTCAAGCCTCGGCTGGTAGGTCTACTCGATACCCAAACGCATTTGGAATCGGTAGTAGGACCCACACCAATGAGGCATAGATAGTAAACCGCCTGGGAGAGGTCAAAAAGGGGTTTTCCTACAGAGAAAGTGCAGTTAATTAAAGTTAGGTACCAGCCCATTGAGGACTGGCCTAAGAAAGCCTTGAAGTGTTGTTTGAACCATCGAAGATTTGTTGTTTGTTCCATAATAAAGACTTTGTTGTATCATTAAAGACTAAAAGCCATCACTTCAGAAAAATCCCTGAGAACCTCTCTTTGAGGCGCCCCTGGCTTCCCGCTGGGCTTAAAGTATACGTCCTATAGAAAAGTACAGCTGTTACAGGCCCAGCGCACGACAGAACATGTTCTATTTGATGTTCATATCTGGACTGGCCTCAGTTGCTGGGAATCTTTATCAACCAGATAAAGAGAGGAGCACATCTTAGTTTTAACTTTATAGTGTCTGGGTGTGACGGCACAGAGGGACATCAGCTTCTCCAAGTTTCTTCAGCCAAATGCCTTCCAGAAGGCTCCTTCTTTGAATTTTTTAAGCAGAGTTTGGATGGCCATCTATCGGGAGTGCTTTGGTTGTGCATTTCATGCATGCCAGGGGGTTGGACTGGATGGCCCTTAGGGTCTCAGAGGAGAAGACTAGCGATGTGAATCCACCCACTGCCAGTGCATCTAGTGATTCGAATGGAGGAAGAGGAAGTCTGGATCAATATCCCTTGGACGCTTCCTTGTCGACAGACACTCACCTGCTCACGATATAAAAGCTGACCAGTTCCAATACATTTCTGAAACGCAGCTGGGAATCTTCAAGATAAAAAGCTGCGGGGGGAAAACAACAATCAGGACAGAGAACAGGTCAGGATCCGGTTTCCCTCTCTGGAGGCACCATCAGAAAGAATGCAACCGAAATGACTCCTTCTAAAAATATACTTATTGACTTAGGTGATCCCTCATTGTCCGAGTAAGATGGCCTTCCAAGAGCAGTGTCTTGGCGGTGGAAACATAGGTGATTGTGGAGCCCTGCACAACATTGGTTTCCAGGTGGAAGGTGGTCCCAGTCAAGGATGGCTTGATGCGCTTTCTTCTTGGCATGTTTCTCCCTTTCGCCCTCCATTCGTGCCTCTTCAAATTCCGCAGCACTGCTGGTCACAGCTGACCTCCAGTTAGAGCACTCAAGGACCAGGGCTTCCCAGTTCTCGGTGTCTATGCCACAGTTTTTAAGGTTGGCTTTCAGCCCATCTTTCGATTTCCTTTCCTGTCTGCCAACATTATGTTTTCCATTCTTGAGTTCGGAGTAGAACAACTGCTTTGGGAGACGGTGGTCGGACATCCGGACAACGTGGCCGGTCCAGCGGAGTTGATGGTGGAGGACCATCACTTCAGTGCTGGTGGTCTTTGCTTCTTCCAGCATGCTGACATTTATCCGTCTGTCTTCCCAAGAGATTTGCAAGATTTTTTGGAGGCAACGCTGATGGAATCATTCCAGGAGTTGAGTGTGACATCTGTAGACAGTCCACGTCTCGCAAGTGTATAGTAGGGTTGGGAGGACAATAGTTTTATAAACAACCACCTTGGTATCCCTATGGGTGTCCCAGTCCTCAAACACTCTCTGCTTCATTCCGAAAAATGCTGCACTCGCAGAGCTCAGGCGGCATTGAATTTCAGTGTCAATGTTGATTTTGTGGAGAGGTGGCTGCCAAGGGAGCGGAAATGATCAACATTTTCTAATGTTACACCATTAAGTTGTATTTCTGGCATTGGAGAGGGATTGGCTAGTGTAATGAAGCATTGATTTTTAACTGTAAGTTAAGCATAGTTATGTATATGTGTCTCTACAGTGAAATATGATTGTATGTATGTATGCTTAGATGGTTGAATATTATTATATGTATGTGTTCAGGAGGTAAAAGACAGTTATGGATGTACATAAAGGGTTAACATTTAGAAATGGCAGAACTAGGGGGATGGGACCAAGCTCAGCACTCTGAGTTAGGTTGCCATGGAGAAAGGGGTGGAGCCAACTGCACTTACCAGAAGCAGACATTTTGAGGCTTCAGTCCTTTGGTCATCGAGCCAAAGGGAAGGTGGTTCAAACATGTGATGAACCAAACTAAGGGAAAGCTTATAACCTGAGTGATTTAAATAAGTCGAGGGGACTTATTTAGGTTTGTGGTTTAGCTGTGTGCTAATAGGAGAAGAAATCCCACTGGGAATCTTTACTTCAGCAGGAAGCTGAAGGGAGACAAGGGCATTAGTTGACCTCAGTTAATCTGTCAAAGAAGGAAACATATTTAGAAGTGTAACAACTAAAGAACTAGTTACCAAGCTACCTATCTGACCGCATCTCTGCCTATGAACCCACCAGGACTTTGAGATCTTCCGTGGAGGACCCTGCTCTCGATCCCGCCTGCTTCTCAAGCTCGGCTGGCGGGGACGAGAGATAGGGCCTTCTCGGTGGTGGCTCCTCGGCTGTGGAACGCCCTTCCTACGGACATTAGACTAGCACCATCTCTAATGGTATTCCGCAAAAAGATGAAGACCTGGATGTTTGTGCAGGCGTTTGAGTAATTTAGTGCAATCTGGTAATGGAACATAGGAATGGAACAATGGACGACGAATCTGGACTACGCTTGGATGATGAGAAGATTGGGTACGGTTGTTTTTTGTAATAATTGTGAATTGTAATTGCTTATTGGTAATTTATGGATAATGTGTTAAGTCAATTGTTATATGTTGTATGGAACCACTGCTGTTTCTACTGTTTTTACTGTTTGTGAACCGCTGTGAGTCGCCTTCGGGCTTGAGATACAGCGATATATAAGCAAAGTAAATAAATAAATAAATAAATAAATAGTTGGTGAAGTAAAAGTGTGCTGGTACAACTGTACCAGGAGCTCCAACTTTATTTCTTTCTGTTAAAGTTTGCAGTTATAGGGCAGGCCTCCTGTCCATCTTAATTAAGCTTTGGTTCCGCCCCTTGTTCAGGCTTCTGGGAGGGAAAGGAGCCATTTTGGGCAGTCTCACACAAGGTAGCTAAGCTATAGGATGTAGACCAGCTCGTCCCATAGAAAAGCTTCCTTTCTTAAGAACTTCCAGGGAAATTGATCATCCAGGGAAAAAAGAGCTTCCAGGGAAACTGATCATTAAGGGGGGAAAAGGATCATCTAAGGAAACTGACCATCAAGGGAAACTGAAATTCACTGAACTCAGCTGAAATATCTTCAAGCCTCAGCCGGTAAGGTCTGCTCGATACCCAGATGCACTTGGATTCGGTAGTAGCACCCACACCGATGAGGCATAGATAGAAAACAGCCTGGGAGAGGTTAAAAAGGGGGTTTTCCTACCGAGAAGGTTGAGTTGATCAAAGTCAGGTGCCAGTCCATTGAAGACTAGACTAAGAAAGCCTTAAAGTATTGTTTGAACCATTGAAGATTTGTTGTTTGTTCCATAATAAAGACTTTGTTGTATTATTAAAGACTCTAAAGACCATCACTTCAGAAAAATCCCTGAGAACCTCTCTGTGAGGCGTCCCTGGCTTCCCGCTGGGCTTAAAGTTGCCTCTGAAGACTCTGGGTTGCCTCTGAAGACTGGCCGGAAGCTGCAGCAAGTCCAACGCTCGGCAGCTAGATTACTAACGGGTGCTGGGTACAGGGAGCACACCACTCCGCTGTTACACCAGCTCCACTGGCTGCCAATTAGCTTCAGAGCACAATTCAAAGTGCTGGTGTTAACCTATAAAGCCCTAAACGACTCCGGCCCTGTTTACCTCTCCAAACGTATTCTCCCCTACATACCATCAAGATTACTAAGATCGTCTGGAGAGGCCCTGCTCTCGGTCCCACTGGCCTCACAAGCGCGCCTGGTGGGGACGAGGGAAAGGGCCTTCTCGGTGGTGGCCCTGCGACTCTGGAACTCTCTCCCACTGGAGGTCAGAACCGCCCCGTCTATCCTGACATTCAGGAAACGGGTGAAGACGTGGTTGTTGAGACAGGCTTTCGATGAATGAGACAGCACCCTAGGGTTGTGGATGGAAGATGAGGTATACTTGTTTTTAATATGACGACTGACCACTGTAGTTTTAATTATAGTTGTTATTTTAAATGTGTTATTGTAATTATGAACTATGATATTTTACTGATTGTATATTTTTATGGTTGTAAACCAGGCTGAGTCCTCTTAGTGAGAAGCTCGGTATAGAAAACTTTGAAATAAACAAACAAACAAATAAATAAATAAGTATACGTCCTATAGAAAAGACAGCTATTACAGGTCCAGCACGCGACAGAACAAAAAAATATCCTAAAGTTATATTAAGATTTGTTGAAACTGTAACTCGTGAAGCTTTATACCTCAGGAGAAGAGAACTCTGAAACCATTAAGACCCTTTCATGCTCCAAATAAACTTGTTCTTGTTTTAGTAACTCGAGTCTCAGTGTACTATTTCAAGGAAAAAGAAAAACCTCGCTACACACCAAAAGAAGCACCATTAATAAACTGAATAGGAAACCCTTCTTAATTGGTGGCAGCATAGCCTAGTACCTCACAGATGGTGGCAGCATACTAGATTGAATAGAATATCAGACAACGAAGAAGAAGCCTTTACAGCTAGTGACTGCCGGAAGAGCACTTTGGTTTTCTCGATGTTTAATGACAAGCCGAGCTTCTCGTATGCTTCTGCGAAGGTGTTTAGAGTGGCTTCTAGGTCTTCTTCTCAATGCGCACAGACAACATTGTCATAAGAGAAGAGAACATGTGTAATAGCAATGCCGAAATGTACACCTAGCTCTTGTTATTCCAGAAGCTCTAGAATTCATCTCCAAATTAGACTCAAACTTGGATTCTCATGGCCCTCCCTTATCTGCGACCTTCAATTTCCCTTTCTTCTTCCTCTCTAGAAGACAATTACTTGCCTCATTGATCCGCCAAGTGGTTAAGCTCGACTAAGTGCATTGGGATAATTCCTTCCTGTTTTGAAAAAAATCTCTTGCCTGAAAGTTTACGAGAAGCAATAAATGAGAAGAGGAGGAAACGGAAGGACGGAAACGCAGGTCGGCTTCTGTGCATGTGAAGCGCCTTCACAGAAGACTGTGGGCTTGGTAAAGACACAAAGAAGGAAGGAAAACACATGGTTTCTTGAAAACAGAAAGTGGATCCACACTGCACAATTGCAGCAGTTCGGTTCCCTTGGCCTCAGTTTATGAAACACTGGGATTTGAAGTTTGGTAAGAGAATTAGAAGAGCTGTAAGTCTCTAGCAAATAATTAAAAGTGATTGGAAAAGGTAAAGGTTTCTCCTGACACTAAGTCTAGTTGTGTCCAACTCCAGGGGTTGGTGCTCATCTCCATTTCTAAGCCAAAAACCGGCGTTGTCCGTAGACACCTCCAAGCTGGGCCTAACGGTAGGAGCTCACCCTTCTCCCTGGATTCGAACCACGAACCTTTTGGTCAGCAAGTTCAGCAGCCCAGCAGTTGACAGTTCGAAGCCGGTTCAGGGTGAGCTCCTGACCTTCAGCCCAGCTCCTCGCCCACCTAGTGGATCGAATGTGAGTATATTAATAGGAACCGCAGTAAGCAGAGAGGTATTTAAGACACGGTGTTTCAGAGGAAAGTTTACAAACAAAGAAAGCTCTTCGACAAGGAGATAGAGCAACAGCACCCCCTGTGTCCAGAAGCGAGCACAGCCTCCAAAAGATGAATGATGAGAAAAAAGCCTATATATACCTCTATCTGTTGTCTGTCTCATCACTGTATCGATTATCATTGAATGTTTGCCATATATGTGTTTGAGGACTGGGACATCTGTAGGGATACCAAGGTGCTTCTTTATAAAGCTATTCTCCTCCCAACCCTGCTATACGCCTGTGAAATGTGGACTGTCTACAGACGTCACATGCAACTCCAGCCAATCCCTCTGCAATGCCAGAAATACAGCTTGATGGTGTAACATTAGAAAACGTTGACCATTTCCGCTCCCTTTGTAGCCACCTCTCCACCAAAGTCAACATTGACACCAAAATTCAACACCACTTGAGCTCTGCGAGTGCAGCATTCTTCCGAATGAAGCAGAGAGTGTTTGAGGACCAGGACACCTGTAGGGAGACCAAGGGGCTTGTATACAAAGCCATTGTCCTCCCAACCCTGCTATATGCCTGCAAAACGTGGACTGTCTACAGATGTCCACAAAAGTCAACATTGAGACTGAAATACAACACCGCCTGAGCTCTGCAAGTGCAGCATTCTTCCAAATGAAGCAGAGAGTGTTTGAGGACCGGGACATCCATAGGGATATCAAGGTGCTTGTTTATAAAGCTATTATCCTCCCAACCCTGCTATACACCTGCGAGACGTGGACTGTCTACATATATCACATGCAACTCCTGGAACAATTCCATCAGCGCTGCCTCTGGAAAATCCTGCAAATCTCTTGGGAAGACAAGCGGACAAACGTCAGCGTGCTGGAAGAAGCAAAGACCACCGGCATTGAAGCGATGGTCCTCCACCATCAGCTTCGCTGGACCGGCCAAGTTGTCCGGATGCCCGACCATCGTCTCCTAAAACAGTTGCTCTATTCCAAACTCAGAATGGAAATGGCCAACCTTAAAAACTGTGGCATAGACACTGAGAACTGGGAAGCCCTGGCCGTTGAGCACTCCAGCTGGAGGTCAGCTGTGACCAGCAGTGCTGTAAAATTTGAAGAGGCACAAAAAGAGGGCGAAACAGAGAAATGTGCCAAGAAGGCGGCGCATCAAGCCAACCTCGACTGGGACCACCTTCCACCTGGAAACCAATGCCCTCACTGCGGGAGAAGATGCAGATCAAGAAGAGGGCTCCACAGTCACCTACGGACTCACCGCCAGAACACTGAATTTGGAGGACAATCATCCTCAGACTATGAGGGATCGCCTAAGTAAGTAAGTATTTATAAAGCTATTCCCCTCCCAACTCTGCTATATGCCTGTGAAACGTGGACTGTCTACAGACGTCACATGCAACTCCTGGAACGATTCTATCAGCGCTGCCTCTAAAAAATCCTACAGATCTCTTGGGAAGACAAGCGGACAAATGTCAGCGTGCTGGAAGAAGCAAAGACCACCAGCATTGAAGTGATGGTCCTCCACCATCAACTCCGCTGGATTGGCCATGTTGTCTGGATGCCCAACCACCGTCTCCCAAAGCAGTTGCTCTACTCTGAACTCAAGAATGGAAATCAGAATGCTAGAGGACCCACCGCCAGAACACTGATCCTGGAAGACTATCCTACTTGGAGAACGTGGAATTGCCTAAGTAAAAGTAACCATCTGGCACATTCCATGTCGAATACAAACTCGCCAGGGATATTAGATCGTCCCCCTCCCTCCTGACTTTCCGAAAAAAGTAAAGACCTGGCTCTTTGAGCAAACTTTTGAGAATGCAGCGGAATAGATAACACGGAACAATGAATCAAGGACATGACAATGTTACTGGATAACGTTTTTAACAAGATGACACTGATGATTATATGCTTTAACGTTTTTTATTTACGATATGTTTTATATTGTAACTAGCCATCCCCTGCCACGCGTTGCTGTGGCCCAGTCTGTTATATCTGTGTATATATGTGGTTTTGTGTGTGCATTGTAATGGTTTTTTTGGCTTTTTAAGTCCCTTCTACGGTGTTTTCAGTGTTTTTATGAGTGATGGTCACTCGTTGGCCTGATAGGTGTATTGTGTCCAAATTTGGTGTCAATTCACCCAGTGTTTTTTGAGTTATGTTAATCCCACAAACAAACATTACATTTTTATTTTTTTACAATGGAGTGTTAGAGGGGTCGCCAAGACCATCAGAAAACACAGTATTTTCTGTTGGTCATGGGGGTTCTGTGTGGGAGGTTTGGCCCAATTCTATCGGTGGTGGGGTTCAGAATGCTCTGTGATTGTACGTGAACTATAAATCCCAGCAACTACAATTCCCAAATGTCAAGATTCTATTTTCCCCAAACTCCACCACTGTTCACATTTGGGTATATTGAGTATTCGTGTAGAGTTTGGTCCAGATCCATCATTGTTTGAGTCCACAGTGCTCCCTGGATGTAGGTGAACTACAACTCCAAAATCAAAGGACACTGCCCACCAAACCCTTCCAGTATTCCCTGTTGGTCATGGGAGAACTGTGTGCCAAGTTTGGTTCAATTCCATAGTTGGTGGCGTTGAGAATGCTCTTTGATTGTAAGTGAACTATAAATCCCAGCAACTACAACTCCCAAATGACAAAATCAATTCTTTTGAGTGAAGGACATACATTGGGTTGTTAGGTGTCTTGTGTCCAAATTTGGTGTCAATTCGTCCAGTGGTTTTTGAGTTCTGTTCATCCCACAAATGAACATTACATTTTTATTGATATAGATGTTGATTGTTTTGAGTGGCACTTTTATGAATGCCTGACACCGAATTGTGCCAACCTGTAACCCGCCTTGAGTCGCCATATGGCGTATAAATATAGTAAATAAATAAAATAAAATAAAATAAATATCCCTTACCTGGATAGGACGTCCAAAATACCTGGCTGGAAGAACCTAAAGCAGAAAGGCAACCCCAATTCTCCTAAACAGCCCTTGAAAAAAGCAATCTGCTCCAGAGGAAAGGGAGCCTTCAACCTGCCACAACTGAACTTTGGTGCTTTCTCCATTCCTCTTCCCCTTTTAAGTAGAAGGAAGTGGCATTGCAACAGACCCAAGGAAGGACAGGAGGGCCATTGAGGTAGGCTTTGAAAAGGAAACCTAGGGCCTCAGAAGGGAAGGACAAAGGTTGGAGGCGCCTGGACACCCACCTGCCCCAACTCACCCGAACTGTCTTCCTTGATGGGAAAATGGCAGAGAGCATCGCTCTTGCTTTCTTGGGTTTGAAGGAACAGAGTCCTGGCATCTTCGGCTTCGTTTCTGATCACAACGAATGTCTGGCCACAGGAAAAAAAAGAAAGTTTGGACAACTGTTTGCTTCTGTTATAAAGCAACATTATAGTCTGTGAAAGAGTCTGTAGACAGGATGTGTTTTCTGAATGCCAGGGTGCCTCGGCTGAGAGGCCTTTCGGATTTCCCCACACAAAGTTCTTTTAAAGACTTAGAAAGTTCAACAAAGTTTTTTTAATTGTTGCTTAAATCTTCAATAAATCAAACATACTTCAAGAAATTAACTGGTGGCTTTGTATTGTCGAAGGCTTTCATGGCCGAAATCACTGGGTTGTTGTAGGTTTTTCCGGGCTATATGGCCATGTGCTAGAGCAAAGACAGAAGGGTGCAGAAGACACTTCCATCTTGTCTTTACTAATAATATAATATAGTATATTGTATATACATATAATATTTATAATATTACTAGCTGTACCCGCCACGCGTTGGTGTGGCCAACCTTCCCCCTATCTCCCCTTCTTTCCCTCCTTCCTTCACTCCCTGTATCCTTCCTTCCTTCCCGTCTTTCCTTCTCTCCTTCCTTCCTTCTCTATCGCTTTCTGTCTCTGCTGTGTCTCTTTTCTTCCTTCTCTCTTTCCTCCTTTCCTTCCCTCCCTCTTTCTCTATATTTTATCCCCTTCCTTCGCTCCCTCTTTCCTTCCTTCTGTCCCTTTTTTCTTTCCTTCTCTCCTTCCTTCTTTCTCTAACTTTCCTTCCTCCCCTTTTCTTTCCCTCCCTCTTTCTCTCCTTTCTTCCTTTCCCTTCCTCTTTCTCTCCTTTCTTCCTTTTCTACCTCATTCCTTCCTTCCTTCTTTCTTTCCCTCCCTCTTTCTCTCCTGTCAGGGGTGATTTGAATGCAATATTCCTGCTTCTTGGCAGAATGGGGTTGGACTGGATGGCCCATGAGGTCTCTTCCAACTCTTTGATTCTATGATTCTATGCTTCTTCCTTGACAGATTAGAAGGGGGCGTGGCTTGGAGGTAACGTGAGAAGGGTAGAGGGAGGGGGGGGGGGGATGGGTTTAGAAGGGGGCGTGGCTTGGAGGTAACGTGAGGAGGGAGGAGGGGAGGGGGGATGGGTTTAGAAGGGGCGTGGCTTGGGGGTAAGGTGAGGAGGGAGGAGGGGAGGGGGGATGGGTTTAGAAGGGGCGTGGCTTGGGGGTAAGGTGAGGAGGGAGGAGGGGAGGGGGGATGGGTTTAGAAGGGGGCGTGGCTTGGAGGTAACATGAGTTTTAGTTTTAGTGATTTTATTTTATTTATATCTTTACTTAAGTTATTTATTATAAGTATTTTTAGACTGGTAAGAGGGAGGAGGGGATGGGGGATGGGTTTAGAAGGGGGCGGGGCTTGGAGGTAACGTGAGGGTAAGAGGGAGGAGGGGAGGGGGATGGGTTTAGAAGGGGGCGTGGCTTGGAGGTAGTGAGGAACGTGAGGAGGGAGGGGGGATGGGTTTAGAAGGGGCGTGGCTTGGGGGTAAGGTGGGAGGAGGGGAGGGGGGATGGGTTTAGAAGGGGCGTGGCTTGGGGGTAAGGTGAGGAGGGGAGGGGGGGGGATGGGTTTAGAAGGGGGCGTGGCTTGGAGGTAACGTGGGGAGGGGGATGGGTTTAGAAGGGGCGTGGCTTGGGGGGAAGGTGGGGAGGGGAGGGGGGATGGGTTTAGAAGGGGCGTGGCTGGGGGTAAGGTGAGGAGGGGAGGGGGATGGGTTTAGAAGGGGGCGTGGCTTGGAGGTAAGGTGAGGAGGGAGGAGGGGAGGGGGGGTGGGTTTAGAAGGGGGCGTGGCTTGGAGGTAATGTGAGGAGGGAGGTGGGAGGGGGGATGGGTTTAGAAGGGGGCGTGGCTTGGAGGTAATGTGAGGAGGGAGGGGGGAGGGGGGATGGGTTTAGAAGGGGGCGTGGCTTGGAGGTAACGTGAGGAGGGAGGAGGGGAGGGGGGATGGGTTTAGAAGGGGCGTGGCGTGGGGGGGGTAGAGGGAGGAGGGGAGGGGGGATGGGTTTAGAAGGGGGCGTGGCTTGGAGGTAACGTGAGGAGGGAGGAGGGATGGGTTTAGAAGGGGCGTGGCTTAGGTGAGGAGGGAGGAGGGGAGGGGGGATGGGTTTAGAAGGGGCGTGGCTTGGGGGTAAGGTGAGGAGGGGAGGGGGGATGGGTTTAGAAGGGGGCGTGGCTTGGAGGTAACGTGAGGAGGGGAGGGGGGATGGGGGCGCGCGCGCGCGTGTGTGCCGCGCGGGGGGGAGAGGGGGCGCACACGCGCGCGTGTGTGCCGCGCCAGGGGAGTGAGGGGGCGCGCGGGCGCGCGTGCGTGCGTGTGCCGCACCGGAGGGGGGAGAGGGGGGGCGCGCGCACGCGCGTGTGCCGCGCCGGGGTGTGTGAGGGGGCACGCGCGCGCGTGTGTGTGCATGTGTGTGTGTGCCGCGCCGGGGGGTGTGAGGGGGCGCGTGCGCGCATGTGTGTGCATGTGTGTGTGTGCCGCGCCGGGGGGTGTGAGGGGGCACGCGCGTGCGTGTGTGTGCATGTGTGTGTGTGCCGCGCCGGGGGGGGTGAGGGGGCGCGCGCGCGCGTGTGTGTGCATGTGTGTGTGTGCCGCGCCGGAGGGGGGAGAGGGGGCGCGTGCGCGCGTGTGTGTGCATGTGTGTGTGTGCCGCGCCGGGGGGGGGAGAGGGGGCGCTGTGTGCATGTGTGTGTGTGCCGCGCCGGAGGGGGGAGAGGGGGCGCGTGCGCGCGCGTGTGTGCATGTGTGTGTGTGCCGCGCCGGAGGGGGGAGAGGGGGCGCGTGCGCGCGCGTGTGTGCCGCGCCGGGTGGGAGAGGGGGCACGCGTGTGTGTTTGTGTGCCGCGCCGGGGGGGGGAGGGGCCGTGCGCGTGCCTGTGTGTGTGCCGCGCCGGGGGGGGGGGGGTGGGGCCATGTGTGTCCGCGCCAGGGAGTTTGCGCCAGTGCGCATGCTCAGTTGCTTTGTCGTTTATTGTGGTTGTTGTTGTGTGTTTTTGATTTCTGAGTGGATTAGTTTGTACCTTGTTGGTTGCCCTTGGGGCATGGGAAGTTTGGTGGCGTTTCGTTGGGGGGTTTTTGAGTTTTGTTTCGCCATACGACGCCAGGAGGAAATTTATATATATAGATATGTAATACAATATAATACTAGTAATAATAATTCAATATTATAATTATAATTATATATTTACAATACATGTAATATTACTAATAATATTACAATATAACGGTATAGTGCAATATAGTAATATATACTGATATTGTACTATGCTAATAATATAATATATTGTATGAAAATATATATTGTAAGCCGCTCTGAGTCCCCTTCGGAGTGAGAAGGGTGGCATATAAATGCCGTAAATAAATAAATAATAAATACATTTTCTCCTGACGTTTCGCCTGCACCTATGTCAAGTATCCTCAGAGGTAGTGAGATCTGTTGGAACCAGGAAAAAAGGGTTTATATATCTGTGGAATGACCAGGGTGGGAGAAAGGACTCTTGTCTGCTGGAGCTAGGTGATAATGTTTCAACTGACCACCTTAACTAGCATTTGATGGCTTTGCAGTGCCTGGGGGAATCTTTTGTTGAGAAGTGATTAGATGTGCCTCGTTTTCTCTCTGTTGTTTTGCTGTTGTAATTTTAGAGTTTTTTTAAATACTGGTAGCCAGATTTTGTTCATTTTCATGGTTTCCTCCTTTCTGTTGAAATTGTCCACAAGCTTGTGGATTTCAATGGCTTCTCTGTGTAGTCTGACATGGTGGTTGTGAGAGTGGTCCAGCATTTCTATGTTCTCAACACTTTGCCTACTGCTAATAATATGCTGTGGACAATAACAAGCAAGATTCCCCCAGGCACTGCCAAGCCATCAAATGCTAATTAAGGTAGTCAGTTGAAACATTCACACCTAGCTCCAGCAGACAAGAGTTCTTTGTCCCACCCTGGTCATTCCACAGATATATAAACTGATGCAGGCGAAACGTCAGGAGAAAATGCCTCTAGAACATGGCCATATAGCCTGAAAAAACCTACAACAACCCAACTGGTGGCTTGTCCACAAGGGACAGGCAACTTTCTTTGTAAACTGTTTCTTCCTTCTACAAGGGAAATCCTTGACCCCTCCCTGGGCGACCTGACTTAAGCTCTGCTGGCGTGGGCCCCTACACCCGGTCCAAATTGCTTTATGGCTGCCGCAAGTTGTCCTTACCAAACAGAGTCCTTTAGTAGATTTCCAAGAGGAAAGAAGGCTTTTAATTCCCAGCGCAGGTTGGCTGTAGAGTTGTGGAACTAAATTCCCCAACAAAGACTATGCTGTAGTTCTCTGTAGAGCCATGGGACTGGATCCCACCAGCAAAGCTGTAAAAGACGAAGCTTTCTACAGGTGGAACTGATTCACGTCCTGTACGAAAGGCTTCTCTGTGTGAACTGAACTAGAGGTCCCCTTTCCCCACCCTTAACCCAGAAAAAGGGGCGGAACTAAAGAACATAATGATAATTGATGGGTCATTGGCCCTATGATTGCAAGCCAAGGGAAGCCACCTTATTGCGAAATGCATGGAACTTTGGAATACATGAAAACACTCAATAGAAAGGAAAAGAAGCTGGAGCTCCTGGTACAGCCGTACCAGCACATAGTCTATTTCTTGTCTTCTTTACACTATAACATTCTTGGGTTTTTTTTTCTCCCCAATTCCTAGATTTTAGTGTTCTTGGAACAGGTCCCCCATCCACACAAAAGCCTTTACATCTCTATTGACATGCTATTCAAAGGCACAAAAAATCTAGATTGCTGTAGGTTTTTCGGGCTGTGTGGCCATGTTCCAGAAGCATTCTCTCCTGACGTTTTGCCTGCATCTATGGCAGGCATCCTCAATGGTTGCGAGACCTCTGAGGATGCCTGCCATAGATGCAGGCAAAACGTCAGGAGATAATGCTTCTGGAACATGGCCATACAGCCCAGAAAACCTACAACAACCCAAGAGCCGACGTTGCCGAAGGGCTGACGTTGTCCATAGACACCTCCAAGGTCATGTGGCCGGCATGACTGCATGGAGCGCCGTTACCTTCCCGTCGGAGTGGTACCTATTGATCTACTCACATTTGCAAGTTTTTGAACTGCTTGGTTAGCAGAAGTCCCCCATCATAGAGTGATTTATTATGATTTCAATACAACTGATTAAAGACATTGTAATTTACCCCAGGTAGTTGTGTTGAGAGCAGATCTGCAGCCTGTGCTGGGTCTCCACTGCAGAGGTCCCAGATGCCCCTGGTAATGGAAAGTCTGTCCAGAAGTGGGATCGGATTCTCACATCTTCCATTGACTAATGTCGTCTGCAAGCTGTATAAAGAAGGTAAAAGTAAAGGTTTCCCCTGACCTTACGTCCAGTTGAGTCCGACTCTGGGGGTTACTAGTCATATTACATGTAATATTACTAGTAATATTGCACCATAGCGGTATAGTACAATATAGGAATATATAATACTAATATTGTGCTATGCTAATAATATAATATGTTGTATGTACATGTAATACTGATCATAATATTATAATGTAATACAATAGAATACTAATAATAATACAATATAATAATATTATCATAATCTATATAAATAAAAATGTAATGTTCGTTCGTGGGATTAACAGAACTCAAAAACCACTGGACAAATTGACACCAAATTTGGACACAAGACACTTAACAACCCAATGTATGTCCTTCACTCAAAAAAAATGATTTTGTCTTTTGGGAGTTGTAGTTGCTGGGATTTATAGTTCACAATCAAAGAGCATTCTGAACCTCACCAACGATGGAACTGAACCAAACTTGGCACACAGTTCTCCCATGACCAACAGAAAATACTGGAAGGGTTTGGTGGGCAGTGTCCTTTGGTTTTGGAGTTGTAGTTCACCTACATCAAGAGATCACTGTGGACTCAAACAATGATGGATCTGGACCAAACTCTACACAAATACTCAATATGCCCAAATGTGAACACTGGTGGAGTTTGGGGAAAATAGAATCTTGACATTTGGGAGTTGTAGTTGCTGGGATTTATAGTTCACCTACAATCACAGAGCATTCTGAACCCTACCAACAATAGAATTGGGCCAAACCTCCCACACAGAATCCCATGTGGGCCACAGCAACGCTAGTATATTATTCATTACATGTAGTAAAGGTCTCTCCTTGACATTAAGTCCAGTGGTGTCCAACTCTGGGGGTTGGTGCTCATCTCCATTTCTAAGCCGAAGAGCCGGCGTTGTCCGTAGACACCTCCAAGGTCATGTGGCTGGCATGACTGCATGGAGCACTGTTACCTTCCTGCCGGAGCGATACCTATTGATCTACTCACATTTCGCATGTTTTTGAACTGCTAGGTTGGTAGAAGCTGGGGCTGACAGTGGGAGCTCACACCGCTCCCCGAATTCGTACCTGCGACCTTTCGGTTAGCAAGTTTAACTCACTGCGCCACCGCGAAGAAGAGGACCGGGAAAATTAGAAGGAGATTAAATACAACTCCTGAAATCATTCTAGTCCACGCATGGGCAAACTTTGGCCCTCCAGGTGTTTTGGACTTCAACTCCCACAATTCCTAACAGCCAGGCTGTTAGGAATTGTGGGAGTTGAAGTCCAAAACACCTGGAGGGCCAAAGTTTGCCCATGCCTACTCTAGTCAAAAATGTCCATGAGAATATACTTTTGCATGATCTCTTCCCACTTGCTGCTGTTTACTTACCCAAGTTCCTTTTCCGCAGTTTTTTTGCCATTCTCCGGCATGATTTCAGACATCTTTCATCCCAAATGCCCAGACAAGTGGTCAGTCCTGCAACGCCCCTCATCCACAGATCTTTTTTCTTCTGGAGGAGGAGAACAAGCCAAACAGTAGGACTAAGGAGGCTGCAAGTTGCATTAGGCTAGCAGCAAAAGTCCTCTTTTCCTATCTCCCCTTTTACCCAATCTCATCAGCAACAACAGCATTTGAAATGCACCCACATACTTGAACCTTGCTGCTAAATATTCCTGGGGAGGGAAGGGCTGGAAATGGTTGCCGGAACCAGAAAGGAACTGGTTGCGATAAAAACCAAGTACTTCCCATATTAGGAAAGTTACCGTAAATTAGAAGTGAGCAAATAAGGTCTGCAAGCTGCATACAATCACCAAGGTAAAACAAAAAAATACAGTAATACTCCCATGCCATTTCTATAATTTATCCAGAAAATAACGATAACAAGAACGACAACAACACCGGTAATAATACCACTCTATAGTAGTAGTAGTAGTAGTAGTAGTAGTAGCAATAATAATAATAATAATAATAATAATATGCATGCATCATTCGAAAATACATCACACAGTCCTAGAGGTTTGGGAACTGTTCAACTTGTGAGTTTGTGATACGAAATCCAGCAAATAGATCTCATTTGCTGTGACATACTGTGTTTTTGTGTCAGTAAAATAATAGTAATAATAATAATAATAACTCTGCAAGGAAGCAGATGAAACAATAGATCCCATCCTCAGCATCTGCAAGAAGATCGCGCAGACAGACTACAAGCAGAGGTACAACACCATTGCTCAGATGATTCATTGGAACTTGTGCCACAAAGACCATCTGCCTGCGATGGTCTGGTGGGATCACAAGTTGGAAAAAGTTACAGAGAATGAACACGCCAAACTCCTCTGGGACTTCCAGATTCAGACAGACAGAGTTTTGGAGCATAATACTCCTGACCCCACAATTGAGGTAAAAAAAAACAACAAAGTATGGATCGTCGATGTCGCAATTCCAGGTGACAGCAGAATTGCCGAGAAACAACTGGAAAAGCTGACACGATATGACGATTTAAAAATCAAACTGCAAAGACTCTGGCACAAGCCAGTCAAGGGGGTCCCAGTGGTGATCGGCACACTGGGTGCAGTGCCTCAAGACTTTGGCCTGCACTTAAACACAATCGGCACTGATAAAATTACCATCTGCCAGCTGCAGAAGGTCACCTTACTGGGATCTGCAAGCATCATTCGCCAATACATCACACAGTCCTAAACACTTGGGAAGGGTCCGATGTGTGATCCAATTCAACAGCCAGCAGAGTGTCTGCTGTAGACTTATCTTGTTGTGTTTCTATTATTATTATTATTATTAATAATAATAATAATAATAATAATAATAATAATAATAATAAACACAATACAAGAATTTAAAGATCGAACTGCAAAGACTCTGGCACAAGCCAGTCAAGGTGGTCCCTGTGGTGATCGGCACACTGGGTGCAGTGCCTCAAGAACTTGGCCTGCACTTAAACACAAAAGGCCAACCTACTGGGATCTTGCTGATACATCACACAGTCCTAGACACTTGGGAAGTGTCTGACGTGTGATCCAACACAATAGCCAGTAGAGTGGTCTTGTCTGCTGTGGACTTGTCTTGTTGTGTTTCTAATAATAATAATAATAATAATAATAATAATAATAAAGCTGACACGATATGAGGATTTAAAAATCGAACTACAAAGACTCTGGCACAAGCCAGTAAAGATGGTCCCAATGGTGATTGGCACACTGGGTGCAGTGCCTCAAGAACTTGGCCTGCACTTAAACACAATCGGCGCTGACAAAATTACCATCTGCCAGCTGCAGAAGGCCACCTTACTGGGATCCAATCCAACAGCCAGCAGAGTGTCTGCTGTGGACTCATCTTGTTGTGTTTCAAATAATAATAATAATAATAATAATAATAATAATAATAATAATAATAATAAATACCCCACTTTTTCTCGATCAAAGGAGACTATAACTTCCATCAGTCTGGAACTAAATCACTATTGAAAGCAATTGCAAAAACCCATGAGGCTGAATCAGCAAATCTTGGGCAAGTCAACCTCAGAAGACAGCAAAGGGTTTCCTTGGTGAGATTTTTCAGACTCAAAAAAATATCCACAATCAATTAATCTGGCTATAAAATGAACATTCGTAGGCACAACGGATCATGCACCTACTAATATGCACAAGGGATCTCGCAACCCATGTGCGCAAACCGGCTGGAAAGATGGCGACCGGAGTTTGAAGCAAAGATCAACCTGCAACTGCTGTCCAGTCATCGAATCCTTGAGTTGGAAGAGACCTCGTGGTCGCCTCTGCCTTGGTTAGACCACACCTGGAATACTGTGCATCACAATTGAAGGGAGATATTGACTCTAAGCTGCAGTGTGTCCAGAGGAGGGCGACTCAAAGGATCAATGTTCTGGAGAACAAGCCCTATGAGGAGTGGCTGAAAGAGCTGGGCATGTTTAGCCTGGAGAAGGCTGAGAGTAGACATGATGAGGGCCATGGATAAATTGTGTCCAGTTCTGGGCATGACTCTAAGCTGGAATATGTCCAGAGGAGGGTGACTCAAAGGAACAATGTTCTGGAGAACAAGCCCTATGAGGAGCGGCTGAAAGAGCTGGGCATGTTTAGCCTGAAGAAGAGAAGGCTGAGCGGAGACATGATGAGCGCCATGGATAAATATGTCAGGGGGCGTCATAGGGAAGAGGGACCAAGCCTGTTTTCTGCTGCCCTGGAGACTAGGACGCAATGGAGCAATGGCTTCAAACTAATAATAATAAATAATAAAAAAACTTTATTTGTATCCCGCTACCATCTCCCCAAGGGACTCAGTGCGGCTTACATGAGGCTAAGCCCACAGCACATCAATAAACAAAGGAGATAACAAATAGTCAATACAAAACAGTTAAAATAAACTCAAAAACAGAAAAATACACAATAAGCAATAAACAAGAACAATAACCTAAAAACTACAGCAAAAGAACATTAGGAAGAACTTCCTGACTGTGAGAGCCGTTCAGCAGTGGAACTCTCTGCCCCGGAGTGTGGTGGAGGCTCCGTCTTTGGAGGCTTTTAACCTGAGGCTGGATGGCCATCTGTCGGGGGTGCTTTGAATGCAATTTTCCTGCTTCTTGGCAGAATGGGTTTGGACTGGATGGCCCACCACGAGGTCTCTTCCAACTCTAGGATTCTATGATTCAGAACAGCATGCAAATGTGTTGTTTTGATAGTGCCCTGTCCTCAGGAGTATCATCTAAAAGGGACCCCCAAAGGGCATCTAGTCCACCCCTTACCTCGGTTGCAAGTTTGGGACAAGAGCACAAGACTTGAAGGTCACAGGAGGCCTTACCTTGCGAATGGGAAGGATGCCAATGGTCCTAAGATGCCGCAAAAAGGGATCTGTCTGCACCACGGAAGGAGGATCAAAAAGGTGAGCCAAGGAACGTCACACGCATGCAGCAATGGAGGAGGCGAAGGCAGGGATGTGGTTTTTGCACCTCTGCCGGTTGCCTTCACGTGGTCTCGGTCTTCGACACTGAAAAAAAAAGGCAGCAAGAGAGAGATCTAATGCAAGGCAGAAAGGGATTGTTGACATAAGGCATTATTATGTTGACTCTTTTGAGATTCTAGTCCCAGTCTCTGGGAGTGATGGGTCTGGGAGTGATGGGGATGGGGACCACACACTGGATTGGACTAAGTTACAAGAGGTTCAAGATGTATGTGCTCAGCCAACGTCTATTGACACGATTGTGGGGTTTTCTGGTGGTGGGGATTGGCAATCGGGAGATACTGCGGAGTCTTCGGGAGATCTAAGTCTTGACAAAAGGTGGAGGAGTTGGAGGGATGGGCTTCAGAGTTCAAGTGTAGAGTCAAGGGCAGCTGTAGAGATGATGGCGGGGCGGAGGTCAGCTCATCATCGGATGATGAGGTGTAAGTTAAAGTAGGCTTTGAAATGGGGAATCATTGCAGAAGGCAAAGTGTTGGTTTCGTGCCTTGGGTTTTGTCGCTGCCGTTTTCATGTTGGGTTTGGGTCCTGGATCTGCAGGTTGCTGCTTCTGTTCGTGTTTCGATTTGGCTTGGATTCCCGTGAGTGCGGATTTCCCCTTCTTTGACTTTGGACCGGTTTTGACTATGATGCTGCCTACGTGGACTTTGGAACCTTGCAACTTCGGACTTGGCTTACTCCGACCTCGGATTTCGTTTGACTACGTCTTCCTCTTTGCGGCTTTTTGTTTGTTCACCCTTTACTTGCTGTGTTATTTTGTGTGACTTTTGAAGCGCTTTAGTTTAATCCAGATTTTTTTTCTCCGGATAATCCGGATTATTGCTTCAGTTTACCTTTTGAACTGAAACTGGTTGCTACTTTTGAGTTTTGACCAGGGACACTGAATTAAGTGTCTATGAGTCCCTTTTGCTTTGTATTAATAAACTCTACTTTTGGACATACTCCTGAGTCTGGCTCTTTAAGGTGTCTGGGTTCCGACAGTTTGTTTGTTTACAGTATTTATGTCCTGCCCTTCTCACCCCGCAGGGGACTCAGAGCGGATTACAATGTACATATACATGGCAAACATTCAATGCCATAGACATACAACACATATAGACAGACACACAGAGGCTATTTAGCATTACAGCTTTTTCAGGAGGATATTCTGGCCACCAGGGGAGCTGTCGCTTCACCGTCCATTTGTGACACTGATGAAGTACTTCCTCATTCTTTGCATGCTTGCTGGAGATGTTTATGGCCTCGTAAATTACTTAATCTAGGGATTGGGAAACTCAGGCCCTGACACCGTTTGTTTGTTTGTTTACAGTATTTATATTCCGCCCTTCTCACCCCGCACAAGACTCAGGGCGGATTACAATGTACATACACATGGCAAACATTCAATGTCATAGACATACAACATATATAGTCAGACACTCAGAGGCTATTTAATATTACAGCTTTTTCATGAGGGTATTCAGAAGCTCTCCGAAGCTCTAGGTGCCCTTACTGCCTATTACAGGGAAAACCAACTGATCCCTAATCCATCTAAAACACAGACATGTGTCTTTCACCTTAAGAACAGACAAGCATCCCGAGCTCTGAGGATTACCTGGGAAGGAATCCCACTGGAGCATTGCAGTGCACCCAAATATCTGGGAGTCACTTTGGACCATGCTCTGACCTACAAGAAGCACTGCCTGAACATCAAGCAAAAAGTGGGCGCTAGAAACAATATCATACGAAAGCTGACTGGCACAACCTGGGGGTCACAACCAGACACAGTGAAGACATCTGCCCTTGCGCTATGCTACTCTGCTGCTGAGTATGCATGCCCAGTGTGGAACACATCTCACCAAACTAAAACAGTAGATGTGGCTCTTAATGAGACATGTCGCATTATCACAGGGTGTCTGCGCCCTACCCCACTGGAGAAATTACACTGCTTAGCTGGTATTGCACCGCCTGACATCCGCCAGGAAGTAGCAGCCAATAGTGAAAGGACCAAGGCAGTGACATCTCTAGCTCATCCCTTGTTTGGGTATCAGCCAGCACGTTAATGACTTAAATCTAGAAATAGTTTTCTTAGATCTACAGACACTCGCTGGAACGCCTCAGCAAGTGAGAGTCCAAAAGTGACAGGCTCAAACCCAGAACCTCAATCAACGGCTGCTACCAAATGAGAGACTCCCCCCTGGGCACACAGAAGGACTGGGTGACTTGGAAGGTGCTGAACAGACTGCGCTCTGGCACCATGAGATGCAGAACCAACCTTAAGAAATGGGGCCACAAAGTGGAGTCCACGACATTCGAGGGTGGAGAAGAGCAAACCACTGACCTCCTGCTGCAATGCCACCTGAGCCCTGCCACATGCACAAGGGAGGACCTTCTTGCGACAACACCAGAGGCAATCCAAGTGGCCAGATACTGGTCAAAGGACATTTAATCAACTACCAAGCTTGCAAACTTTGTGTTTTGTTTGTTTGTTAATTAAAAAATGCAATACAACTGTTTGGCTTGCTCCTGATAAATAAATAAACACTAAGCCTTTTGAGTAAACCTGTTTTATCAAGAAGCCTCTGTACTCTTCTTTTCCAGGGAAGGTGTCCTGGATGTAAATATTATTTATTTAAACAAAGATTTTTTTAATTGCAAAGTTGTAGTGTGGAATGCTATTGTTCAGGGTTCCTGCTAGCCATGCTTTATCTCATTTCATGCATGCAAACAAACAGATACATGCTGTCTTAGCATTCTGTACCCACTAAATGTGCTTAGCCCACACTGAAGCAATTCAAGGCCACTTCCTGCTTCGGGCTTTCCCCATTTCTAAAGAATTTTCGGGTTATTGTGTACATATATTTAATTCCCTCAAATATGTCAATATCTCCCTCTTGTGGATAAATTATTGTTTTATGTATTGTCAAAGGCTTTCATGGCCGGAATCACTGGGGCGACTTGCAGTTTCTCAAGTTGCTCCTGACACACAAAAAAATTAATTTACTGTTATCATTATTATTATAATTGTTATTATTTATTTTACTCTATTTATATTCTTATTACATTTACATTATTCTACTCTATTCTTATTACATTTATTATTTCTCTATTATTATTATTATTTATTTATTTTTCTCTATTATTATTGCATTTATAATTTTACTCTATTATTATTATTACATTTATTATTTTACTTTATTATTGTTATTACTACATTTATAATATTGGAGCCCCAGAAGTGCAATGGGTTAAACGCTTGTGCCGGCAGGACTAAAGACCGACAGTTCGGAGGTTTATTTATTTATTTATTATTTATTTACTGCATTTATTGACCGCCGCTCTCAGCCCTAGGGCGACTCGCGGCGGTGCACAACATATAAAAACAGTTTACAAAAGGGCAAAACAGGGAATCAATACAACAATAATACACTATAATCTAGTTACACTAAATAATCCGCTCCGTCACATCATAGAATCATAACCAATATCGTAATCCGTATTCCGTTCCAGTTGTCAATTACCAGTTGCCGTAGCGCTCAGCTGAATGCCTTCTCAAATAGCCAGATCTTCAGGCTCTTTCGGAAGGACAGAAGGGAAGGCGCCTCTCTGATGTCAGCAGGGAGGTCGTTCCACAGCCGGGGGGCCACCACCGAGAAGGCCCTTTCTCTCGTCCCCGCCAGACGTGCCTGTGAAGCAGGCAGGATCGAGAGAAGGGCCTCCCCAGACGATCTCAAGGTCCTCGTGGGCTCATAGGCCAAGATGCGGTCCGAAAGGTATTTTGGGCCGGAACCGTTTAGGGCTTTGTAGGCCAACACCAGCACCTTAAATTGGGCCCGGTAGCAAATCGGCAGCCAGTGGAGCTGGAACAGCAAGGGCGTTGTATGCTCCCTGCGTCCCGCTCCTGTTAGTAACATGGCTGCCGCGCGCTGAACTAGCTGAAGTTTCCGGGCCGTCTTTAAGGGCAGCCCCACGTAGAGAGCGTTGCAGTAGTCAAGGCAGGATTTGACCAGAGCGTGTACCACCATGGCCAAGTCAGACTTCCCAAGGTACGGGCGCAGCTGGCGCACGAGCCTAAGCTGTGCGAATGCTCCCCTGGTCACCGCTGAAACCTGGGTTTGAATCCGGGGAGAGCAGGGACGAGCTCCCTCTATCAGCTCCAGCTTCCTATGTAGGGACATGATAGAAGCGTCCCACAAGGATGATAAACACCAAAATATCCAGGCATCCTCTGGGCAACGTCCTTGCAGGCGGCCAATTCCCTCACACCAGAAGCGACTTGCAGTTTCTCAAGTTGCTCCTGACACGAAAAATATTTTACTGTTATCATTATTATTGTTAATATTATTTATTTTACTCTATTTATTATTCTTATTATTACATTTACATTATTATACTCTATTATTTTATATTATTTCTCTATTATTATTATCTATTATTATTGCATTTATTATTTTATTCTATTATTATTACATTTATTATTTTACTTTATTATTATTAGAAACACAACAAGATGAGTCCACAGCAGACAATCCGCTGGCTGTTGAATTGGATCACATGTCGGACCCTTCCCAAGTGTCTAGGACTGTGTGATGTATTGGCGAATAATGTGTGCAGATCTCAGTAAGGTGGCCTTCTGCAGCTGGCAGATGGTAATTTTGTCAGCGCCGATTGTGTTTAAGTGCAGGCCAAGGTCTTTAGGCACTGTACCCAGTGCCTAAATATTATTATTATTATTATTATTATTATTACATTTATTATTAAATATTATTTTATTCTATTCTGCAGCTTGCAGATTGTAATTTTGTCAGCGCCAATTGTGTTTAAGTGCAGGCCAAGGTCTTTAGGCACTGCACCCAGTGCCTAAATAATAATAACATTATTATTACATTTATTATAAATATTATTTTACTCTATTATTACATATTATTACAAGTATTATTTAAAACCATCCTGCAGCTCCCCAAAGAAGCCAGCCTTGAATCTGTGCAAATACTTATAGGCGCTGGGACACACACAGTGACAAAAACACAACACCCTTTTCCAGTATCAAGGTGCTTGATTTTAATTGCCACTCTGGTAGCTTAACTGCAAATAACAGAGACAATGGCTCAAAATACAGCACTAAAACTGCCATCCTGCAAGAATGAAAAGACAGATCGTATCATCTTGATGCATTCTTTCCTGCAAATGCCTTTTGGCCAAACCAAAATAAGTGCACGAAGGTTACAGTCGAGACTGCTTTGTCCATCCCACCATCATGCCCAATTATATCTGTGTCCTTTAGCTAATTAGTTGCAAATTAACAGCAAACCTTTTTAAAAATCATAAAGAAACATTAGTATTGCTAATTTAACTCCCCAACATTGCAGCCATGATTTCCGCTTAGTAAGCCTTCCAAGCAAACACTCCCCAAGCCAGAAAACACTTCTGGAATGTGTTTTCTTGGTCTCTTTCTCTGCACAGGTCGTCACAGTCTCTGAACTTCCAGAGTCAAAACTTCGGGGCTGGTCTTTCTCTGGCCCCACCCCTGAAAGAATACAACCGAGAATGCTTTACAAGCCACAAGGATCACTCAGCCAATGTCTGTTTTGATTTTTAATTCATCCACAGAAAGGGTCCCTCTTCCGTCGGGTCCAAGCTCTTCATTCATCTTGGTGGTGAGGAGGCTTTTCCTTCTTAGGGGACGGCTTCTGCTGGTGGTCCTTCACCTGAGGGCGGGAGGCGCTCGCCCCATCGCCAACCGCCGGCCCTGACTTGGCATCAATGGTCGCATGCTCCCTTTTCACCAGGTCTTCCAGCTCTTTCTGCGGAGGTAAAAAAAAAAAGGAAATAAAACTAGGGATGGATAGAGACGCAACTTGTGTATGGATGGCAACCTGCTCTCTCTATGGTACAAAGAGAACACTATTGTTAATTCCTCACAAGGTGTTCTGGGTTGCACTGCAACGATGCCATAACAAGACACATACCTTCCATCCCAAAAGCTCTGCCAAAGCATAGCAGCCGTCATCACAGTCTCCGAGCCATGCCACATCCCTGAGGGAGAAGAGATGGGGATGGAAGGTTCCCCCAAAAAGAACAGAGTCAGTGAACAACATTTAGCATGTTTGTATTTGTTTCCAAGAAACCCAAGCAATTTACACACATGATCTCAGTGAACAGTAAACAAAACAAAATCCAAGGAGAAGCTAGCTTGCAGCTTGGAAGCAGTGCATTTGGATCAACTTCCTCTCCTAAAGGGGCCTGGTCTAGGGGATGCTGGGAGCTGTAGTCTGGAAGAGTGTGTGCATATGTTTTGTTTGTCAGAAGTTGTTTTTGCGCATGTGCTGTAGCGTCTTTTTGCTTTTTTGACTTTTTAAGTCCCTTCCGCTGTGTTTTTCAGTGTTTTTATGAGTGATGGTCACTCATTGGCCTGATAGGTGTATTGTGTCCAAATTGGTGTCTATTCTCCCAGTGGTTTTTGAGTTATGTTAATCCCACAAATGAACATTACATTTTTATTTATATAGATATCAAGAGCAAACCAGCAGTATAGTGGTATAGTACAATACAGTAATATATAATACTAATATTGTGCTATGCTGATATGTTGTTGTTCATTCGTTCAGTCGTCTCCGACTCTTCGTGACCTCATGCACCAGCCCATGCCAGACTCCCTGTCAGTAGTAACCACCCCCAGCTCCTTCAAAGTCAAGCCAGTCACTTCAAGGATACCATCCATCCATCTTGCCCTTGGTCGGCCCCTCTTCCTTTTTCCTTCCATTTTCCCCAGCATCATTGTCTTCTCTAAGCTTTGCTGTCTCCTCATGATGTGGCCAAAGTACTTCAACTTTGTCTCTAGTCTCCTTCCCTCCAATGAGCAGTCGGGCTTTATTTCCTGGAGGATGGACTGGTTGGATCTTCTCGCAGTCCAAGGCACTCTCAGAACCTTCCTCCAGCACCACAGCTCAAAAGCATCGATCTTCCTTCGCTCAGCCTTCCCTAAGGTCCAGCTCTCACATCCGTAGGTTACTACAGGGAATACCATGGCTTTGACTAGGCGGATCTTTGTTGCCAGTCTGATGTCTCTATTACTATTTTATCGAGACTGGACATTGCTCTCCTCCCAAGAAGTAAGCGTCTTCTGATTTCCTGGCTGCAGTCTGCATCTGCAGTAATCTTTGCACCTAGAAATACAAAGTCTGTCACGGCCTCCACGGTTTCTCCCTCTATTTTCCAGTTGTCAATCATTCTTGTTGCCATAATCTTGGTTTTTTTGACGTTTAGCTGCAACCCGGATTTTGTGCTTTCTTCTTTCACCTTGATTAGAAGGCTCCTCAGCTCCTCCTCGCTTTCGGCCATCAGAGTGGTGTCATCTGCATATCTGAGGTTGTTAATGTTTCTTCCAGCAATTTTCACCCCAGCTTTGCATCCTCATTGCTGATATAATATAGTGTATATACATGTAACTTGTAAGCCACACTGAGTCCCCTTCAGGGTAAGAGAGCGTGAGATATAAATATAGTAATAGTAGATAGATAAATAAATAAATAAAGGAACCAAAGAGATTGGGCAACTTCTCCAATGCCAGCCAGTGAGCTCAGTGTCAGTGGCCCACACAACTACTTATACCAGACATGGGCAAACTTTGACCTTCCAGGTGTTTTGGATTTCAGTTCCCACAATTCCTTACAGTATTGATAAGGATCCCCTGGTGGCGCAATGGGTTAAACCCCTGTGCCGGCAGGTCTAAAGACCGACAGGTCGCATGTTCGAATCCAGGAAGAGAGCAGATGAGCTCTCTCTGTCAGCTCCAGCTCCCCATGCGGGGACATGAGAGAAGCCTCCCACAAGGATGGTAAAACATCAAAACATCCGGGCGTCCCCTGGGCAACGTTCTTGCAGACGGCCAATTCTCTCACACCAGAAGCAACTTGCAGTTTCTTAAGTTGCTCCTGACATGGAAAAAGAAAACTAAGGATACGACACCAAAAGCATCAAGAGAGCTGCATATCTTTCACTGAGGTGAATTCCAATTTATCACACACTGCAAGTTCCCTTTGTTTGGAAGCCTTGACAATACAATGTACTTTTTCTTTGCAGGACTCCAGCCCAAAATATAAGCCTTTGGTTTATATCCCCACCATTCCATCCCCGGTCCCTGCGATTACTTGCCTGTATGCCTTTTCTGATTCAAAGTCCATCCCGCAGCCAAAGCCCATGAGGGACATGAAAGGGTCGCTCTGCAAGGAGATAAAAAGGCTTAGCATGATGGCGCTTGTGATTCTGGTGTGTGTTTTTTGACAATTTGGGTGTCATTATAACATTCACTTTTTTGTTGAGTTCCAGGGCCAGAGAAGCAGATGGCGGAAACAGAAGAACGGCCTGCCTCAGGGGAGCGTGCTTGCTCCATAAATGTTCAACATCTACACAAATGACCAGCCACTGCCAGAAGGTACAGAGAGTTTAATCTATGCTGATGATTGTGCCATTACTGTTCAAGCAGGGAGCTTTGAGATGGTTGAACAGAAGCTCTCCAAAGCTCTAGGTGCTCTTACTGCCTATTACAGGGAAAACCAACTGATCCCTAATCCATCTAAAACACAGGCATGTGCTTTTCACCTTAAGAACAGACAAGCATCCCAAGCTCTGAGGATCACCTGGGAAGGAATCCCACTGGAGCATTGCAGCACACCCAAATACCTGGGAGTCATTCTGGACCGTGCTCTGACCTACAAGAAGCACTGCCTGAATATCAAGCAAAAAGTGGGTGCTAAAAACAATATAATATGAAAGCTGACTGGCACAACCTGGGGATCACAACCAGACACAGTGAAGACATCTGCCCTTGCGCTATGCTACTCTGCTGCTGAGTACGCATGCCCAGTGTGGAAACATCTCACCACGCTAAAACAGTGGATGTGGCTCTTAATGAGACATGCCGCATTATCACGGGGTGTCTGCACCCTACACCACTGGAGAAATTACAGTGTTTAGCCGGTATTGCACCACCAGACATCCACCAGGAAGTAGCAGCCAATAGTGAAAGGACCAAGGCAGTGACATCTCCAGCTCATCCCCTGTTTGGGTATCAGCCAGCACGTCAACGACTTAAATTAAGAAATCGTTTTCTAAGATCTACAGAGACACTCGCCGGAACACCCCAGCAAGCGAGAGTCCAAAAGTGGCAGACTCAAACCCAGAACCTCAATCAATGGCTGATACCAAATGAGAGACTCCCTCCTGGGCACACAGAGGACAGGCAACCTGGAAGGCACCGAACAGACTGCACTCTGGCACCACGAGATGCAGAGCCAACCTCAAGAAATGGAGCCACAAAGTGGAATCCTCGACATGCGAGTGTGGAGAAGAGCAAACCACTGACCACCTGCTGCAATGCATCCTGAGCCCTGCCACATGCACAAAGGAGGACCTTCTTGCAGCAACACCAGAGGCACTCCAAGTGGCCAGATACTGGTCAAAGGACATTTAATCAACTACCAAGCTTGCAAATTTTGTTTTGTGTCTGTTTGTTTGTTTTGTTCTGTTAGAAACGTAATATAATTGCCTGGTTGCCCCTGACACGATTAATAGAGAAACTTTTTGTCGAAAATATGAACTCAGGGTCTGACCAAAGAAGAGGAAACCAAACTTGACCTTACCTCCCCTGTCTTTTCTTTATTAATAAGAAGCCGTGGGGTGTTTGTGGGGACTCTGGAAGAGAAAGAGGAATCAGGGGAAAATATTAACATGGATATGCCTCGACAAGTAACATTAGCCAAAATATTCATTCAACCAAGGTTCACCTACCTGGCAACAAGCGAGGCAAAGGGCTGGACTTGAAGGGAAGTGCCCATGATAATAAGCAAGTCCACATTCTGGAAATCCTGCAAACAGAGTTGACAAAGGAAAATGAGTCAGAGGGCTGTTCTTCAAGACTAGGAACAAAACAAAAATCCTATAGGGCAGGGGTTCTCCACCTGTGGGTTCCCAGATGTTTTGGTCTTCAACTCCCAGAAATCCTAACAGCTGGTAAACTGGCTGGGATTTCTGGGAGTTGTAGGCCAAAACACCTGGGGACCCACAGGTTGAGAACCACTGCTATAGGGGGTGGCACAGTTGTGGCTACTACAGCCCTAACCCTGAAGGTAAACAACTCAAGCACTTACTGACTGCATCAGAGAGAAGAACCGAGAAGGCAAATTTTCCCCAAAGAACACGATATCTGAGTAAAAAGGGGGAAAAGAGACAATATTGTCAGGGCTTCGGGTGTGCTATGTTTCTCTGCCAAAGATCCCCCTTCTATTAAAATAAATAAAAGAATACATCTCTTGTTGGAAATTCCATAACCTATTGGAAATAAGTGCACCATAACCTTATTGAAAAGGTAAAAATGATGCCACATCCGTTTGGCAAATGTGAATCTCCATGAAGATGTGGAGACCACCTTTCGAAAACCAGTAGTCAAAGAAAGGCATGACATTGTTAGGAGTCAACTCTTAGAACAAGTGATATTCATAAGCATTCATGTAATGGCACACTCAGCCGTTAAACTTTTTTTTTACCCTCCCCATTTTGTATTCAATCTGTACCTAAATAACTTTGTGTCCATTGGGATATGGGGGGAGAAGGGAGGGTATAAAAAGAAGGGCTGAAACGCTATGGAGAGAGAGTGGGGAGTGGGGGGAGGGAGAAGGGGTCTACATTGTTAATTGCAGCAATAATATGTTTCATGCTTATGTCTATGTTTGATGTTTTATAGTTTTAACGTTTTCTATCTACAGTTATATGTTATTGATTTAGATATATGATATTTTTATATATGTGAGGCATTGAATTTGCCATTTATTATGTTGCAAACCACTTTGAGTCCCCCCAGAGGTGAGAAAAGCGGTATAGAAATGTAGTTAATAAATAAATAATAAATAAACTGAAGAACTATGTATTTAAACTGCCAAGGATAGAGACATGCCATTACAAAAATATATTTGGTTAACAGAGGATGGTTGTTTCTTTGAAGCTGAATTGCCCATCTAGTCTTCTTTAAAAATAACATCTCAGGTTTACTAACAAACTTCTTATATATATTTAGCATACTAGTCCATAGTCCAATGTCTTTAAGCACTCAAACTTTTTAAACAGAGGGCCAGGCCACAGTCCCTCAAACTGTTGGAGGGTCGGTTTATAATTTGAAGAAAAAAAACATGAATGAATTCATATGCACACTGTACATATCTTATCTGTAGTGCAAAAAACCCCATTTAAAAACAATACAATAATTAAAATGAACAACAATTTAAACAAATATGAACTTACTAGTATTTCAATGGGAAGTGTGGGCCTGCTTTTGGCTGATGAGATAGGATTGTTATTGCTGTGTGCTTTCAAGTCGTTTCAGACTTAGGTTGACCCTCAGTGAGGGCCAGGTAAATAACCTTGGAGGGTTGTATCTGGCCCCCGGGCCTCAGTTTGAGGACCCCTGATGTAGACATAGTCCACTGTATATCTGTACTCACTGAAGTCTGAAAGGAGACAAATTGCATCCACCTACACTGAGGTCTAAAAGCATACTATATAATAAAAATGGAGTCCTGTGTCTGAAGCCTCTCCCACACCAAAGAAATACAGTCAAACCAAAATGTATATACAATATAGGTTAACAATTATACACATTTACAAACAGTTAACGGAGGCTTGGAAGGTTGCTATTTCCAACATCACCATACACTATGATGAGATGCTTATGCAAGAAATCTATCTGAAGTCTCTGAAGCCAGGGTTGTTCCCAAAGATGATTTTTCCAAGTCAGGACTGCAGGCTTTTGGGCCTATTTCCATGATTAACTAAGGGAGGATAAGTTATGCAAAGCAATAATAATCCAAAACTACATAATTCCTACAGGACATAAGATTCCAGATCCATTGAGGTACATTGGCTGCAATAGCCACCCTGGTCACCCTGGCGTTTTGATTAAATCTCCTTGATGGCAATTCCATTCACCAGATGGCCTTTTGGCCCTTGAGCTCAATCATTAGCACAAAATTCCAAATCCAATCTGCCAAAATGGAAACCAAACAATATTCTGCCAAAAGGTGTTCTCAAGAGAGTGTTTGCAGTTCTAAAAGAGACTTTTCAAAGGAGGTGCTCACCTGGCTTCACCACGCTCTGACACTTTTCACATTTGGGGATGAGAGAAGAAAATATCTTTTCTGAAAGGAAATAGAAAAGAGACCTTTTAGAATCTTTAGGTGGCTGTCAGCTGCATTAAGATCACTAAAAGGGCCATGAGTTCGAAGCCAGCCCGGGTCGAAGTGAGCTTCTGATCCATTTGTGTAGCTTGCTGTCGACCTTTGCAGCCTGAAAGACAGTTGCATCTGTCAAGTAGAAAAATTAGGTAAAATTTAACTAATTTATGCTATAAAAATCTCCAGCAAGCATGCAAAGAATGAGGAAGTACTTCATCGGTGTCACAAATGGACGGTGAAGCAACAGCTCCCCTGCTGGCCAGAATACCCTAATCAAAAAAGCTGGAATGTTAAATAGCTTCTATATATGTTGTGTGTCTATGGCATTGAATGTTTGCCATGTACAAGTACATTGTAATCCACCCTGCGAGGTGAGAAGGGCGGAATATAAATATTGTAAATAAATAAATGAGTTCTTTAAAGCTTCGCATGAAAGAGTGGGTAACATTCGGATGACAACTCCCTCCCCACCTTCCACTCCAAAGCCCCACCTTTCATCCACTCCAAGCTGTACATCTTCTTGCAGGTGGGGCTGATGCAGTGCGAGGTATAGAAGGTGCCATGAGCTTCTACCAAATCCTCATGATCCAGACCAGCTACCCGCTCCAAGGTATCAATGTTCTGAGAGACAGAGAGATTGAGTAAAATAAATGAGTGGGGAAAATAATGTTGAATCTATAGATGCAAAGATACAGAATGAGGGAAGCCTGGAATATATCTTGACCCTGGGATTTGCAATAACTGTGACATCTACGAAGATTTTTGTTTTTTACAAGCAAATCTATAGAGAATTTTTAGCATCTAGGTAATTTTATAACTCTTACTATTTTTACTACTTGAATTGTCATCCAATCTGATGTCCTATATTATATTAACTGATCCTGTTAATTTGCTCTGTTTCCATGATTTTTCCTATGCCATTATACATTGTCATCCACCTTACTAAACCACGTTATCCTTTAACTAGTTTACATAGTGGTTTTCCTCCCCCCCCCCCTCCAAAATTAGTCTGGTGTTATTGTTGTTGCTAGCTATTTTTGTTATGCTATTTTATGCTGTTTTAATTGTTATTGCTTTATTTTAATTGTAATCTGCCTGGTCTTGGGCCCCATGTAAGCCGCCCCGAGTCCCTTCGGGGAGATGGAGCCGGGGTAGAAAAATAAAGTTCTTCTTCTACTACTACTATTTTACAATTTTTATTATTTTAATTTTATTTTATACTTTATTTCATTAAAAAACATGTATTAATTCAATCTGAGACTTATTTCATGAATATATTTTTCCTGCTTTTTAAAAACTTCAATAAGTGTAAAATTATAAAGATAAACCTTAAAAGTAAATGTAGTATAATAATAATAATAACAACACTTTATTTATACCCCGCTACCATCTCCCCAAGGGACTCGGTGCAGCTTACATGAGGCCGAGCCCAAAATACAACAATAACAATAACAATACAAGCAATATAAAACAACAAAACAGTAAAACAATAACATAAACATTATCAAATAAGACAACACACTTTAAAATCTATCGGTAGGCCAAATGTAATTAAAATTAAACCTTTGTACAAAGCCCAGGAGTATCGAACAATAGGCATAGTTAAACTTTCAAAGCCGTAGGATGGTCCCTACATGGGCCCGGATACATTGGTCTCTGTGTTTTTGTTTTTTCTATCACTTTTGACTATCGTTCTGGGTCATGCTGCTGCTAATAAGTTACTCTGCTGTGCATTTATGAGGACGATTTTTTGTTAATAAACCCACTCATCAAGAAGACCACTGTTCCATACAAAAAAATTATAAACACTCATAAAGAGCGGTCTGACAGACTTCATCCAGCAGCTAAAGAGAACATTGTAAAGGGAAGTTTATTTATTTACTGTATTTGTATAACGCCTTTCTCAGCCAATCGGCGACTCAAGGGGGTTTCCAACAAATCAGTACACATAAAAACATAATATAGATTAAAACATTAAACAGTATAAAACACCACAAAAGCAATAAAAACAACATCATTAGCATCTCCTTATTAACAAGCATTGTCCAGTTCCATTGTCAAATCATTCAATTTCCTATACTTGCTACTCTGCATTTGTAAACACTTGCTCCAACAGCCATGTTTTAACTTGCCTCCAAAACGTCAAGAGGGAGGGAGCAGATCTGATCTCCCTAGGGAGGGTGTTGCATAGCTGAGGGACCACCACTGAGAAGGCCCTGTCTCTCGTCCCTGCCAAACGTACTTGAGATGAAGGCAGGACCGAGAGCAGGGCCTCCCCAGACGATCTTAGAGTCCTCAATGGTTCTTAGAGTCCTCAATGGTTCGTAAGGGGAGACACATTCGGACAGGTAAGTTGGGCCAAAACCATTTAGGGCTTTATAGGCCAAAGCCAGCACTTTGAATTGGACCCGGTAGCAAACCGGCAGCCAGTAAAGCTGGCGCAACAAGGGGGTTGTATGCTCCCTAAGCACTGCTCCTGTTAGCAACCTGGCTACTGTTCGTTGGACTAGTTGAAGCTTTTGTACCATCTTCAAAGGCAACTCCACGTAGAGCACGCTTGCAGTAGTCTATATTACTTTCTATACTATAGTTTCTGGCCTAAGAGCTACCACTGGTGCTTTTATTGGTCTGGTAGAGCTTGGGATTCTGGTTGCAGCACCTCCAGGAAATTGCCCAACCCAAGAAATGGAGAGCAGTACTGGTTCTGGATATTGCCAAGCTGACTATGAACTAGAAATAGCCAAACTATCTGCACTAGATATTTCTCTCCAATTGTTGCAGGCCCGGTCTTTTGTAGCAAGACAGGTATAATAGAAGGTGTACCGCTCTCTCTTTTTTTTCAAGAGCAAGGACAGTTTCACTCACCTGTGTGTAGCAACGGAGCAGCAACCCTTTCTCTTTCAGAAGGCGCATGAAGTAGTGACAAACCGTGGGCTGAAAAAGGAGTAAAAGAGCTTAAACTGCTCTCCTAAATAATAAAAAAGCAGGAAGTTAACCTGCAGACTTCCGAAATCAGGCATGGGCCAACTTTGGTCCTTTAGCTGTTAGGAATTGCAGGAGTAGAATGTTTTTTGTGTGCACGGTATGTATTTTAAAAATAATTTTAAAAAACAATCTAAAAAAGCCTTTGGGAATAATAAAGCATCTTTATGCAGTCCAATATTCTAGATCTCTCCTATGTACATGAGGTTTATTTTGCATCCAAACACCACATACTTTCATCCAACAGGAGGCAAAGAAACACTGCTTATCTAACATATAAGAACTCTAAATATTTTTCCACAGTCCAGGTGCAATGCTGACTTTTGCTGTGATACGCCATAAAGAAGGTATAAAAACTACTTTAATATTCATCATTATTTTAAATGAATATTAATATTCATTTAATATTAAGAACTCACACCCAACTATTTTAAAGTTAGTCTTGGAAGCAATCACACTTCTGAAACATTCTAGCTTACCTTGAACTGTCCTGGGTACAGCTCCCGGGCCAAAGCAAAAAATGGTTCTGGGTGTTTCTAAATCAAGACAGAGAAACAGAATAGATAGTGTGGGGAAAATAAATCTGAATGGAGTGGATTTAGCTGATGTTAGATACAAGCAGGAGACTCAGTGTAGTACCTTGAAGTAGTTGATCTCAAAGATGGCTTCAGGGTATGGCAGGTTGTACTGCTGCAGATTGGCATAAAGCCCTGTCCCTGGGGAGCGGAAATCTGGAATCCCAGCAGCTAGAAGGTACAAAGGGAGTTCATTCATACATTCAGACAGTGAAAAAGAACCAGCAGTTCAAACAGCTGAAGATTCCTTCCAAAAATGTGGTGCCCTTGGCTAGGACGCCTCTGATGTACCCAGACACTGACACCAGCTCTAGATATATTGGGAAGGGAATACTGGAGTTACTGAAGCAAGAGGATTTGAACAAGAAAGTCACTTAAAAGGAGACATGGCAGATTAGAGTAACAGCCCAATGTCTACTATAGTGTAGGAAAAAAAAATACAAACTATTCCAGCAGCATTTTCTCCTGACATTTTGCCGGCATCTTCAGAGGACCTGATGGTAGTAAAGCAAGTGGAGTATATCTACCTGCTCTACTGCTGTCAGATCCTCTGAAAATGCCAGTCATAGATGAAGGTGAAACATCAGGAGAATACACTAATAATAATAATAATGCCCCTGTGACACTCACCGGTCGAGATTCCTGCTCCAACCATAAACACCACATTTTTGCCTGCAAAGGGAAGAGAGACATACTTTAATTGTGAACCATTGATTCTGGAAAAGTACCTTCCTATATCCCACCACATTTTGAGATAGCACAAATTAATTTTAGAGCTCACACGCCTGTTTCAACTTTTCCTCAGCACCGCTTTGTCTCAGCATTGCATGGCTGTCACAGAAGTCAGAAGCCCCAAAGAATTGCAGAATAGCACAACACTACCTCCCACCCAAATCCAAAGCCACCCTCAAAGGGAGAACAGGCTTACATTTGTCGGTCAGCATGTATCTGCTCACTCCCTCCAAGGTCAGCTCATCCAGCACTTTTTCAGGCTTCTCGCTGCCCAAGTTTAATGTCCGGGACAAGAGGTTTCGCAAAAACTCCACTGTCAAAAAAATGAGAAATCTTTAAAACTAGCCCCAATGGCTCCCAGGAATTGAGTTCATGCTTGAAAGAAGGCCCTATGCAGTCCGAAAAGACTAGCAATGTGAACTCCAAAATGTGACAGACTCTTCAATCAAAACAAGACAGTCTCAAACAATAGTAGAATAGACTATAATGAAAATAAGGAACAGGCTCGTGGCTTGTATACCACATTTTGGAGAAACACTAGATTAGTTAAAACAGAATGGTTAGAACTAGGATGTTTTCTATCTTGACAATGCCAGAAGGAAAGAATCAAGTAAGAATTGTTAACCTGGAGACAAAGGTTTCAGACACCTAGGTATATTATATTCTTAGACCCTGAACCAAATCAGGAAGCACATTCCAAACAGGGCCTAAATATAAGCAGTCCCCACATTATGAAGATGGCTTCTATAGGTTTGTTCTGAAGTTGAATTTGTATGAAAGTTGGAACAGCATAGCATAGGGAAGGGTTCACACTTCGGTGGGGTTTGTTTGGCCGTCTTTGCCCCTGTGAGAATTGGGAGTTTAAAAAAATGTGGCTTGTGGTAATAAAATTACTGAGAAAGCTTCAGTGGAGACACCTTTTCCTCATAATAACTCTTCCCGGAGTGAATTCCCGATTCACCCTCAGTCTTAACTATGAGTCATTTGTAACTTGGAGACTGCCTGCATGCATTCCCCAAAGTCTCCTACAAGTGTAAGAATACCCCAAATAGGACACCTACTTTCGGTCAATCCAGAAGCCCCACCTTCGTCATCAGAATCGGAACCCTGAAATGAAAAGGGGTCAGGGAAAGAGAGAAAGGATTAAGGAATGAAGGGTAATTTGTTCTTATCCGATATTAATATAACTCAGGCATGGAGGCCCTCCTTCCAGGTGTTTTGGACTTCAACTCCCACAAATCCCAGTAGTATATTGGCCTGATCCAACTGCTTCTTGCTCCTCCCTGAGAACTGATAGTTATCCCCCTCCTTCTTTCTGACATCTCTAATTTCAGTGGTTACCTTGTGCAAAGTAGAAGTTCAAGGTTTGCTTACAAGCCTCACTTAGAAGTTCTGCTCCCAAACCTGGACTATGTCCAGGACACAGTTAAGATCATTTTACGATTAAGTCAGGGGGTTGCTGTGGTTTTTAGTTTGAATATGTACTTACATAGCTATTGTCACTTTAAAAATTCCAATGATGTTTAATTCTGTTTTAATGTTTATATATTTGTTGATTTTAACATAAATTCACTGTCAGGACCCAAATTTCAGGGTCTGGATTATGGCGCCAGAAATCAGGCACTTGCAATGTCTGACCCTGAAAGGAAACGGCTAATGGATTTGGTGGGTGGATTTTGTGGGTTTTTCTCTTGACGGGAATTGTATCTTTGAATGTGGGGGAGGGTATATAAGGGAGTGCTGGCCACCGCCTGGCACTCTCGGCTTTTCGTGTGTCAATGATTCCTGTAGTAAAGTTTCCAGTGATACCAGAAGCGTCCTGTATCTTCATTTGGGAGCAGCTGCAGTGAGCTGACATTCACCTTGAGTCTTTTTTTGGGGGGAGAGAAAAAACTGGGTACAAATAAACATAATCCTATCCTATTCCATTTGTTGCTGATCCACCCCTTTGGGCTTCACGCAAATCTACCATTTGCCAAAATATAAAATTCTGTGCTTTTCTTTCCAGTCCTGGCTGAATAGCTTAACTGTAAGTTTGTCCCATTGAGTACAAGGCCTTTTGTTCGTGCTACATACTCAACACATCTTCTTTTTGCTTCGAAGATTTCCTTGACCTCATCTTTATTTATTATTTATTTACTATGCTTCTATACCGCCATTCTCAGCCCGAGGGTGACTCATGGCGGTTTACAAAACGGCACAATTCGATGCCCACAACAGTACAAAAATAGTTTAAACATTAAAAACATTTGACATAGATTTAAAAAATCATTACAATTAACATCAATAAATGTACTCCTTTGTTTCCTTTTGCTTTCCTCCTTTCTTGGCCTACTTCCATTGTCTCAGCAGCTAAAACCTCTATATTGTTTTCTTCAGTGTTGTGGGCACTGCTGACTTGGAGGCCTGGTTTTACAAAGACGGCGCTTCCATACTGCGCATGTGGTCTTTACGCTACTAAGACCATTCCTGGAACTTTTGGTCGTTTCTGTCGTTCATCCCTGTGTGTTTCTTGGACACACATCACATCACTTCTTATCTTGGTACAGTTCATAGAGCAATTGTTCTTTGGCAGCTAACATGCCTTCAATGTTGATTGAGATTATTGTCATGGTTGGTCCTGAAAAGGTCCGTTGATTGTTTTGCTTGCTTGCTTGCTTGCATGCTGCAAGTCGCTTCTGGATTGAGAGAATCAGCCGTCTACGAAGACGTTGCCCAGGGGATGCCCGGATGTCTTGCAATCCTACGAGGAGGCTTCACTACAGACCACCTGCTGCAATGCAACCTGAGCCCTGCCACATGCACAATGGAGGACCTCCTTGCGGCAACACCAGAGGCGCTCCAAGTGGCCAGATACTGGTCAAAGGACATTTAATCAACTACCAAGCTATGTGGCCAGATACTGGACAAAGGACATTTAATCAACTACCAAACTCACAAATTTTGTATTTTGTCTGTTTGCTTTGTTCTGTTAGAAATGTTATATAATTGAGTGGTTGCCCTGACACGATAAATAAATAACTTCCAAGCTTGCAAATTCTGTGTTTTGTCTGTCTGTTTGTTTTGTTTTTGTTAAAAATGTCTGGTTGCTGATGACACGATAAATAAATAAAGCAGCTAAAACATACAGTCATCTAAAAACATTTAACCAAGTAAACCAAGAGATTTTGGTTTGTACAGGATAAGGATAGTGTATCATATGCAAAACCGGATGATCTGGGGATAGATATTACAATCACACAACACATAATCATAGAATCAAAGAGTTGGAAGAGACCTCATGGGCCATCTAGTCCAACCCCCCGCCAAGAAGCAGGAAAATTGCATTTAAATCACCCCTGACAGCTGGCCATCCAGTCTCTGTTTAAAAGCTTCCAAAGAAGGAGCCTCTACCAAACTCCAGGGCAGAGAGTTCCACTGCTGAACGGCTCTCACAGTCAGGAAGTTCTTCCTCATGTTCAGATGGAATCTCCTTTCCTGTAGTTTTAAGCCATTGTTCCGCATCGTAGTCTTCAGGGAAGCAGAGAACAAGCTTGCTCCCTCCTCCCTGTGGCTTCCTCTCACATATTTATACATGGCTATCATATCTCCTCTCAGCCTTCTCTTCTTCAGGCTAAACATGCCCAGTTCCTTAAGCCGCTCCTCATAGGGCTTGTTCTCCAGACCCTTGATCATTTTAGTCGCCCTCCTCTGGACACATTCCAGCTTGTCAATATCTCTCTTGAATTGTGGTGCCTAGAATTGGACACAGTATTCCAGGTGTGGTCTAACCAAGGCAGAATAAAGCATGGGTAGCATGACTTCCCTAGATCTAGACACTAGACTCCTATTGATGCAGGCCAAAATCCCATTGGCTTTTTTGCCGCCAGAGTTGTGTCTGTGCAATTTTCTTGCAACGGCTGAGGATATGATCCATGGTTTCTTCATCATCATCATCATCATTTTACTGATACAAAACCACAGTATGTCACAGCAAACGGGATCTATATGCTGGATAATAATTATTATTATTATTACTAGCCATCCCCGGCCACACGTTGCTGTGGCCCAGTCTGTTGATCTGGAAAATAAAGTAATGATAAAGTGTTGGTTTCTGATATATGTAATTTCTTTCTGCTTGTGGGTAAACAGTATTTCTTGCTGTCTCTTTGTCAGTGTTGATGTGGAGATTGTCTGGAGACACACACCCTGGCCGAGAAGGACATATCACTGTCCTTCTTTACGAGTCCCTTTCAGATCTATGATCCTATATCTGTGTGTGAATCGTATATATCTATATCTATATCTATGGCTGGATGGCTCTTTGTCAGGAGGGCTTTGATTACATGTTCTTGCCCTTGTGAAGGAAGTTGGACTGGATGGCCTTAAGTATTTTCTGTTGGTCATGGGGGTCAACTCCTTAAGCCGCTCCTCATAGGGCTTGTTCTCCAGACCCTTGATCATTTTAGTCGCCCTCCTCTGGACACATTCCAGCTTGTCAATATCTCTCTTGAATTGTGGTGCCCAGAACTGGACACAATATTCCAGGTGTGGTCTAACCAAAGCAGAATAGAGCATGGGAGCATGACTTCCCTAGATCTAGACACTGTGCTCCTATTGATGCAGGCCAACATCCCATTGGCTTTTTTTGCCGCCACATCACATTGTTGGCTCACGTTTAACTTGACAGTAAGTTGTTTAACAGTAAGACCACCTAGAGCTTCGGAAAGCTTCTGTTCAACCATCTGAAAGCTCTCTGCTTAAGCAGTAATGAACTGTGACCCCCTTTGATAATGGACCTGGACCACATTTGGCACATAAAGCTCCCATGACCAGATTTGGGGGAATTCACCTTTATTCATAGGAGTTGCAATTCACCTACATCCAGAGAGACCTGTGAACCCAACCAACGATAGATCTGGACCAAACTCGCCATGGACAATGGGATTTGCAGTACCTTCACTCACTTCCAAAGACCACTGCGACTGTTACACTTTACCAAACTGATATTACCAAACTTCTCAAAACAAACAATGCCTTTCTCAAATAACCTGGACATCGCCGGATCCTCAAGCTAGTTATTATTATAAAATCCAGCTCGCGTTCACCACAATTAATGCCAGACTCTTATGGCAGGCAACTCACTGCACTATGTGTTTCTGTATTTCCGCACAAAATACATATGAAAATACACAAAGCAAAGATCAATAAGGTGCAAGTTTAAAACTGGTCATTAAAAGGCCACAAAACCTATCTGACCGCAAGATACCTATCTGACCGCATCTCGGCCTACGAGCCCACAAGAACTTTGAGATCGTCCGGGGAGGCCCTGCTCTCGATCCCACCTGCCTCACAGGCATGCCTGGCGGGGACGAGAGACAGGGCCTTCTCGGTGGTGGCTCCTTGGCTGTGGAACGCCCTTCCTACGGACATTAGACTAGCACCATCTCTAATGGTATTCCGCAAAAAAGTGAAGACCTGGCTGTTTGAGCAGGCGTTCGAATAATTAGTGCAATGATTGGTTAATGAACACTGGAATGGAACAATGGATGACGAATCTGGCACATGTTTTTGATGACGAGACGACAGTGAATGGGTCGTGTAATGTGTTAGATTGTTAACTGTTTCTATACTGTAGCACTGAATTTTTGCTGTTCGTATCTGTTGTGAACTGCTGTGAGTCGCCTTCGGGCTGAGAACTGCGGTATATAAGTAAGGTAAATAAATAAATAAATAAATAATAAGATGGATGGATGGCATCCTTGAAGTGACTGGACTGACCTTGAAGGAACTGGGGGTGGTGACGGCCGACAGGGAGCTCTGGTGTGGGCTGGTCCATGAGGTCACGAAGAGTCGGAGACGACTGAACGAATGAACAACAACAAACATACCCCCACAAAATACATATGAAAATACACAAAGCAAAGATCAAATATAAGGTGCAAGTTTAAAATTGGTCATTGATAGGCCACAAAACCCCGTTAAAGGGTCAGGATTTGAGTTCAGGAGCCCATTCTCACCGAGGAGCCGGACGCTGCTTCCCTCTCTGCGGCCGCATCGGCTTCGTTAGTGGCGGAGGAGGCGGTGGCGGCGTCAGCGGCAGCTCCGGGTTCTGTGACAGAAGGAGCATAACAAAGGGATCCTGGTTGCCTCGGTTACCTGACGCTGGGAGGCCTGAGGCCGCTCCCCACTAGGCCTCAGGCCTCCCTTCCCCGTCAGACCCCTCTCCACGGGCCTGTCCTTACCTTCCCGGCTTTCCATGAAGCATCCGCCGCCGCGGACACCGCTTCTGACAGGCGCCGCCGAAGAGAGAGAACCACCACAACAACAAAAGGCCCCAAAGCGGAAGTTGTCAGTCTCAGCGGAAATCTACGGACTCCCAGAAAGCACCGCGGTGTTGTCGCAGTCGCAGCCAATCAGCGAACGGCTTCCGAGCGCGAGTCGTGAGACCACAACAAGTGACGTCACCGCCTCATTAGAGATTCACCACCTTCGACCAATCGCCGCGCTCCCGGCATGCCTCGCGCTGCGGAGGGAGTGAAAAATCGTTTCCAAAATCCTCTCAAAAGGCGCGATACCCGGATGTTAGGCGGAAGAAGACTACAAATCCCGGCATGCCTCTGTGACTGACAGAGAGATTGTTGTCTGGGGATTCCCCAGGTTGCTCAAATTCCCCTTCGATGGCAGAAGGAGCTGAAGCAGCGCTTTGAGCAGCGAGTGGGGCTCCCTTTCCTTCTCCTTCCTGATGCCCTGTGTGGCAGTTGAGGCCTACTCTCATGGCAGGCCTGTGTGGAAGTAGTTGAGGCCTACTTCCAACAGGGTAGGCCTGTATGGTAGTAATTGAGGCCTACTTCTTTCCCCAATGGCCTATTTGCAGGGGCAAGTGGCCCAGAGTGGGCCCAGGTCGCCCAAACGAGCTGACTCGACTTCTGGAGGGGACGACTGGTGTGACAGTGGGCTGGGCTCCCTCAGCGAAGGACAGGAAGATGGCGCGTTTGTGGTTGCCCAGGGCGACGTGGAGATGGGTCCTGGAGACTGTCAAGCCATGACCTCGGACCCCAGGGTCTCCCACAAAGTCCTGGCCGAAGAAGACGAGGACCAGGAGCGGCTGGACTCGGCCATTGGGGATTCCTTGGGCGGTGAAGAGGAGGACGTGAGTGGCATCGCAGAAGGCGTCCAGGCCGTGCGCCTCGAGGAAGGAAGAAGAGAAGAAGGGCCCACTGCGGTGGCGGTGACCCCAGAGGCCTGGCTCCACCATGTCCTGGGCTTTGTGACCGAAGATGGAGATACGTACGTAATAATAATAATAATAATAATAAACTGTATTTACAACCCGCCTCCATCTCCCCAAAGGGGACTCGGGGCGGCTTACATGAAGCTGAGCCCAAAAACTATACAGCAAAATTAGACACAAAACAACAGAAAAAATACCATATATACTCGAGTATAAGCCAACCCGAATACAAGCCGAGGCACCTAATTTTATCACAAAAAACTGGCAAAACGTATTTTATTATTTATCATGTCAGGAGCAACCAGACATTTGTATTACATTTTTAACAAAAATAAACACACATAGAAAAGACATAGAGTTTGCAAACTTGGTAGTTGATTAAATATCCTTTGACCAGTATCTGGCCACTTGGAGTGCATCTGGTGTTACTATAAGAAGGTCCTCCATTGTGCATGTGGCAGGGCTCAGGTTGCATTGCAGCAGGTGGTCAGTGGTTTGCTCTTCTCCACGCTCACGTGTCGTAGATTCAACTTTAAGAACAGACAAGCATCCCGAGCTCTGAGGATTACCTGGGAAGGAATCCCACTGGAGCATTGCAGCGCACCCAGATACCTGGGAGTCACTCTGGACCGTTCTCTGACCTACAAGAAGCACTTCCTGAACATCAAACAAAAAGTGGGTGCTAGAAACAATACCATCTGCTGCAATGCAACCTGAGCCCTGCCACATGCACGATGGAAGACCTTCTTGCGGCAACACCAGAGGCACTCCAAGTGGCCATATACTGGTCAAAGGACATTTAATCAGCTACCAATTTTGCAAAATTTGTGTTTTTTTAAAATCTGTTTGTTTGTTTTGTTTTGTTAGAAATGTAATACAATGTTCTGGTTGTGGATGACACGATAAATAACCTACAAAGCCCTGAATGGTTTGGGACCCGCCTATCTGCGTGACCGCATCTCTGTATACGAACCCACGCGATCCCTTCGCTCATCCGGAGAGGCCCTGCTCTCAATCCTATCAGCATCGCAGGCGCGGTTGGTGGGGACGAGAGAGAGGGCCTTTTCGGTGGTGGTCCCTCGACTCTGGAACTCACTCCCTAAAGACATCAGACAGGCCCCAACCTTGGCAGTCTTTAGGAGGAGCTTGAAGACGTGGTTGTTCCAGTGTGTCTTCCCAGAATAATGATCCCATAAGCACTTTGTCCTCCAAAGCACTTTACATTTTTTAGATCTGCTCGTATGCCCTTCTGCAAACACCACTATCACCTTTCGTCCATGTCCCAGCATTATTTCCATTTTAACTTTACATTTGGCCTTCCCACTGTTTTTAATTGCTTATTGTCTTATTGATAATGTTGTATATTTTATTGTCTATGTTTTATTTTAATTGCTTGTACTGTTGTTGTTTTGCTTGTATTGTTGTATTTGGGCTCGGCCTCATGTAAGCCGCACCGAGTCCTTTGGGGAGAAATAAAGTGTTATTATTATTATTATTAACAACAGAAAAATTATATCGTAACAGAATACATAAAGTAACAAAATAATCAGTGCAAAATAACATACCGTATATACTCGAGTATAAGCCGACCCGAATATAAGCCGAGGCACCTAATTTTATCACAAAAAACTGGGAAAACTTATTGACACGAGTATAAGCCAAGGGTGGGAAATGCATCCACTATGGGTCAATTTCAAACTAAAAACAGATACCAATAAAATTATATTAATGTATTGTCGAAGGCTTTCATGGCCGGAATCACTGGGTTGTAGGTTTTTTCGGGCTATATGGCCATGGTCTAGAGGCATTCTCTCCTGACGTTTCGCCTGCATCTATGGCAAGCATCCTCAGAGGTAGTGAGGTCTGTTGGAACTAGGAAAAAGGGTTTATATATCTGTGGGATGACCAGGGTGGGACAAAGAACTCTTGAAACATTCACACCTAGCTCCAACAGACAAGAGTCCTTTGTCTCACCCTGGTCATTCCACCAGGGGCTCCATACTTTTTTAAATTATTATTATTATTATTACTATTATTATGGTTTTGGGGCTTGAAACATTGAGGTGCACATTAGATTTGATGGTGCATTAGACTTGAGTGAATATGAGTATTTGTTGGCAAATGAAATGTGCAGCAGCAAAATGTGCGCTCTTTGTGATATGCCCATTACTGTTGCTGGCTGCTTAGAATTCCTTCTTTAAAAACAAAAGGGCACCCAAGCTTCTATGGTGTGGAATAAAGCCACTTTACCTGCTTTGGTTCAAAACTATGGAGTCATGTGGCCTGTAGTTTGGGATGACGGGGGCTGCCAAAAAATGTTGATGCCTCACCAAATTACAGATGCCAGCATTGCATAGCTTTGAGCCATGGCAGTTAACTTAGAGATGACATCCCTCAAATAGGTGCTCCTGACATAGCTTCATCTTTTGCTTTGGCTCAGCATTAAGATTACATTAACGCACACCCTAATTTTGGGAAGGTAAAGTAGCCAAAACAGGTGATTATGTTTGGATCATGGAGGTACACACGAGGTCTGTTCTTTCAGTTCCCATTTTCTTCATTGGACATGTTTCCATGCACCTGGGTTTTGTGCTTTTTGAGTTATCTCTTCTTTCCTGTTGCCTCTAGAGCTCTCCACTTGGCTGTCATTCATGAACATGAGGCTTTCCTGGACTCCATCCTCCAGTTCACGCAAGGGACGGATTATCTGGACATTCAGAATGATCTTGGACAGGTGAATGGAGAGACGCTTTGTGTCACGTTGTAGGACATGTGCTTCTTTATTCCTCAAAGCCTCAATAGCCACAACCACAATGGCCTTGTTCTGGGACTCAGAGTAGAATATAGCACTTTGCTTGTACAATTAGAAAGAAGTATAACTGGCTTTTCAGTCCTCAGTTAATTTTGTGAGCAACTGGTAAATCTATGTATATAATAAAAGTCAGTGTTTGTATGCGGAGGAAGGATGGCAGGGAGGTGTATGTGGCAGCGTTCTGATTGGCTGCCACAGTGGTACAATTTGCATATGGTCTCTGAGTGGCTGAGAGGGGAAATGAAATTTGCATATGGTTTCTGATTGGTCAGCTTCAACAGGAACCCCTGGTGGTGCAGAGGGTTAAATCCCTGTGCCGGTAGGACTGAAGACCCACAGGTTGCAGGTTCAAATCCGGGGAGAGTGCAGATGAGCTCCCTCTGTCAGCTCCAGCTCCTCATGCAGGGACATGAGAGAAGCCTCCCACAAGGATGGTAAAAGATCAAAACATCCTGGCATCCCCTGGCCAACATCCTTGCAGACGGCCAATTCTCTCACAGCAGAAATGACTTGCAGTTTCTCAAGCCGCTCCTGACACGACAAAAGAAAAAAACATTCTAACATTCTCAAGTGGATGAGAAGAGAAAGGAAAGGGTCTGAGGGATTTGCAGTACCTTCACTCACTCTACATCCTACTGCAGTTTGGAGGAGGATGGACCATGGATGATGGTACTTGCAGTACCATCACTCACTTCCTGAGACCATTACAACTGCCAACAATGATGGATCAGGATCACAGTTCACACAGAGAGCCCGCATGACCCACTCTACATCCCAGTGCGGTTTGGAAGAATTTGGAGATGGATGATGGGACTTGCAGTCCTTCACTCACTTCCTGAGACCACTGAGACCCTAGACAATGACTGATCTAGACCAAACTTGGCACATAGACCTCTCATGACCCACTTTACACCCTGGTGCAGTTTGAAGGAGGGTGCACTATGGATGACGGGACTTGCAATACCTGCACTCCCTACCTGAGACCATTACAACTGCCAACAATTATGGATCGGGATCACAATTCACACAGAGAGCCCGCATGACCCACTCTACATCCTGGTGCGGTTTGGAAGAATTTGGAGATGGATGATGGGACTTGCAGTCACTTCACTCACTTCCTGAGACCACTGAGACCCTCGCCAATGACTGATCAAGACCAAACTTGGCACATAGAGCCCCCATGACCCAGTCTACATCCTGGTGCACTTTCGAGGAGTACAGACCATGGATGATGGGACTTCAAGTACCTCCACTCACTTCCCAAGACTGCTGCAACCCTCATCTAATGACCAGTCAAGACCAAACTTGGCACAGAGAGCCCCCATGGCCAACTCAACATTATTTAAAAATGGTTGGAGCAAAAAACAAGTAAAAATAGCAAGATGCCAGCTAAAATATCAATTAGACCAGCAAGTGCAATTAAAGTAATTGTTTGTCTTCCCATGTGGCCTAGAAAAGTACTCAGCTGACCTCTTTAGAAAGGTGCTGCAATACAGAAGCCTTCTCTCTACTTGCCACTTGCTTCATCTCTGAAAGGAGACGTCGTTGGAGAAGAGTATCTAGAAAAGTTCTTGGTATTTCATCTAGTTTATAGGAGAGCACATGGTTGTTCCTATACTGTGATCCCAAATGGTGTAAGACAAAATACATATATGTTGTTTGCAGATGAACATATAGGGAATCCTGGAACCCAGTTTGACGCCCGTTTGATAATTATTCAAACTACAGAACACTGATGCGCATTAAGGACTATCTTTTTTGTGCTTTTGTGGAGGGTTTGTTTCTAGCCTCGGCAGTTTGGAGTTAAATGGTCAGTGCTGATAGGGGCACAGAGAAAAGAGCCACAGATTGCCAAAACTTGCTTGACGAGGAACCCTATTTTAGTGCAAGAGCATGTTGACATTTGCAATTTAAAAAAAAAAACAGATTGCATTTTATGTGAAACATCTCTGCCTCGGTCCCTGGAGACTTCTGCCAGTCAGTCAGACTTGGCCTTGGACAAATAATGTAGCCTGGTATAAAGAAAGTTACAGATTTAAACCAGTCCTTTTATTCAGAATCTTAGATGCAGACCCATTGATTAAAGTTATTAAGACAGATGGAGATGCTTTAGGGAAGGTATGGGCAAACTTGGGCCTTGCCTGCTTTTGGGGAGGAAGCACACAGCTTCGGGCTGATGATTTCACTCTTATCTCTGTCCCCAGACAGCGCTCCACATCGCGGTCATCCTGGGGGCTTCTGATTTCGTGGGCAAGCTGGTCTCAGCGGGAGCCGGCCTTTGTGTGCAGGAGAAAGGCGGCCACACAGCACTGCACTTGGCCTGTCGGGAAGGGCAGCGGGAATGTGCCCAGCAACTCCTGGCACCTGCTCTGGGGCAAAGGCCTTGCGAAGGGAACAGTTCGCGGGCCCAGCTGGACTGCACCAACTACGATGGTATCTTTCTGGGATTTTCCCTTTCAGAACTAAGTTGCCTTCTCCTCTCTAAAGCTCGAGAAGAGGCTCAAAATAAACAAGTTTGCAGTCCTCATAGCTATGGAGGGGGCAGGAATGATCGAAGAGGCAAAAATCAGTACAAGTTTCCTAAGGCCATTGGTAATTCCCATTTAGAGGGATGCATTTGCCTTCAAATTGACTTTGACTTATAACTACCCTACAGAATGAGAGGCCTCCAAGCTAATAATTACTTATTTAAAGTTTTTTAAATTAATGTTTATTAATTTTCTCAAAAGAATTACAATAAAATATCTCCAACACTTTCCAAAAAAGTAAAAAAGAAAATAAAAGAACACAAAAGACCCTAACAAAGACAGAATAATAATAAATAAATAAAAACACCCTAGTGTGACTTCCGTTCTTCTTACTTAGCCTTATTTAAAGTTTTAATGCTTTTCTATGTCAGCTGTTCTTGGGACTAACCTTAGATTCAGGCCCATTATTATTATTATTATTATTATTATTATTGTTATTATTATTATTATTATTATTATTATTATTATTATTTGAAACACAACAAGATGAATCCACTGCAGACACTCTGCTGGCTATTGAATTGGATCACACGTCAGACACTTCCCAAGTGTTGAGGACTGTGCGATGTATCGGCGAATAATGTGTGCAGATCCCATTAAGGTGGCTTTCTGCAACTGGCAGATGGTAATTTTATCAGTGCTGATTGTGTTTAAGTGCAGGCCAAGGTCTTTAGGCACTGCACCCAGTGTGCCGATCACCACTGGGACCCCCTTGACTGGCTTGTGCCAGAGTCTTTGCAGTTCCAATTAATAGTCTGAGCAACAGTGTTGTGCCTCTGCTTGTAGTCTGTCTGCACAATCTTCTTGCAGCAGCTGAGAATGTGATCTATTGTTTCATCTGCTTTCTTGCAGAGTCTACATTTGGGATCTGTTGTTGACTTTTCAATTCTGGCTTTGATGGCATTGGTTATTATTATTATTATTATTATTATTATTATTATTATTATTTTACTGACACAAAAACACAGTATGTCACAGCAAATGAGATCTATATGCTGGATTTTGTATCACAAAATCACAAGTTGAACACTTCATAAGCGTCTAGGACTGTGTTATGTATTTTCGAATGATGCGTGCAGATCCAAGTCAGGTGGCCTTTTGCAGTTGACAGATCGTGATTTTGTCAATGTTTATTGTTTCCAAATGTCGGCTGAGATCTTTTGGCATGGCACCCAGTATGCCGATGACTACTGGGACCACCTGTACTGGTTTATGCCAGAGTCTTTGCAGTTCGATATTGAGGTCCTGATAACGGCTGAGTTTTTCCTGTTGTGCGACTGTCACCTGATATGGTAATAATAATAATAATAAATATACCACTTTATCTCTCTCAAAGGAGAGGTTGAAATCCAGTGGGAAATCGAATAGTAGTAATAATAATTTTATTTGTTACTCACCTTTCCTCGTGGTTCATGGCAGGTTACAGTATAATGAAAACACATAAACATTGTAAAAATTCTGTAAATACACATATTAAAATGTATTATTAGAAAAAGTTACATATTAAAATGTATTTCTATAAAACATGTATTAAAATACTTAGAACAGAGTTTAAACACAAGACACAAGTTTAAAATTCATGCTTAAAACTGTCTAGGTTGGCCTTCCTGAAGGGGTAGATTGATTTTTGCTGCTCTTAGTGATTTGCTGAGCTTTATATACCTCAGTGTTAGTAGCTCAGATCATTTCGATAGCAATGAACACATTTGATCTGTATAATTTATTTATGCGAACGTTTACATGCATCCTGTGTAATTGTAACAACAAAATTGCATTGGTTCTTCAAGGAGGAATTGTCCGCTCTCTCTTTCTGTAGGCTTCACCCCTTTGCATCTTGCAGTCTTGAGGAAAGATGTGAACATGGTTGGTCTCTTGATCTCTGGGGGATCAGATCTCAACAAACCGGTTAGTTTTGGCAATATTATTGATTATGTGTGTGTGTGTATGTCATGCTCAGGAGGGTAATCCCAGGAGAAGCATACACGCCGATGTCACCATAGGGATAAATTGTTCCTTTCTCCTTTGAATGAGGATTATGATTAATTGTTTCTGAAACTGATTTAAAAAAACCTAAAGGGAGGTATCCCTCTGTTGTGATTCAACCCTCTGGAACGCCCTTCCAAGGGAAATAAGACAGGCTCCATCCCTCCCCTCCTTTCAGAAGAGCTTGAAGACTTGGTGGTTTCAACAAGCCTTTGAGAATGACCAGTTCTAGCCCAGCCCCAAACATTATACTTCCTACCTATTACCCTGGTCATCCCTCTAATAGGCCTTGGAAATGAGCAGCCACAGACCCATACCTGTTATTGCTATTAGCCTGTTATAGCACAGTACTTAATTCCCAGTCCCCTCATATTTTGAGTTTGCACTAGCTTCAGCCCAGCCTTTTAATTGCTCTGAACAGGCAGGATTATTTTTAATATATATGTGTAATTGTGATAAATTTATGCTTATGTTGTTTTGTTAATTTTGTTTACTCTGTATGTTTTGGTGATGTTGCTTGGAAACCTCCCTGAGAGCGGTATATAAATAAAGTTTTATGATTTTATTATTTACTCTTTTTATTTTATTATTTACTAGCCGTCCCCTACCACGCGTTGCTGTGGCCCACATGGGGGTTCTGTGTGGGAAGTTTGGCCCAATTCTCTCGTTGGTGGGGTTCAGAATCCTCTGTGATTGTAGGTGAACTATAAATCCCAGCAACTACAACTCCCAAATGTCAAGATACTATTTCCCCCAAACTCCACCAGTGTTCACATTTGGACGTATGGAGTATTTGTGTAGAGTTTGGTCCAGATCCATCATTGTTTTGAGTGCACAGTGATCTCTGGATGTAGGTGAACTACAACTCCAAAACCAAAGGACACTACCCACCAAACCCTTTCAGTAATTTCTGTTGGTAAATGAGAATTCTGTGTGCCAAGTTTGGTTCAATTCCATTGCTGGTGGAGTTCAGAATGCTCTTTGATTGTAGATGAACTATAAATTCCAGCAACTACAACTCCCAAATGACAAAATCAATTTTTTTGAGTGAAGGACATGCACTGGGTTGTTAGGTGTCTTGTGTCCAAATTTGGAGTCAATTCATCCAGTGGTTTCTGAGTTCTGTTAATCCCACAAACGAACATTACCTTTTTATTTATATAGAAGATTATAATATACCAATTTCTTTATTCACCGTTTTTTGTTTTAATTGAGCTCTCCTGTGCCTTTAATTCCATGAATGTGGAGAACTGACTGTACTTTGTTCTTAACTTGATGTGAGTCATGATGGGTCTCATTCCAAAGAAAAAGCAGAATATAAAATTTCATAAGTAGAGAAGTCTTTGACAGGTTTGCTCACACACAAATGCATAAGCATATACTAGCTTACTAGGATGTGTTTGTCTGAACCCCCCTCACCATCTCTTGCCTTGCAGGAACTGAGTTGTGGCCGGAGCCCCCTTCACCTGGCCGTGGAGGCACAGAGTCCCGAAATGGTGGAGCACCTGCTGCGTGCTGGAGCCAACCCTGAAGCCCGGATGTACGTCGGCTACACCCCCATGTACAGCGCCATCCACCGGCCCAATGAAAAAATCACACAGCTTTTGCGGGCCTTTGGCTCGGAGGAGCCCGATTGGGACTCAGAGGAGAGTCTGGACAGCAATAGCGAGGTGAGTTTTATCCCAGGAAGGGACACCTTGTTTGGAATATATGGGATTTTGTATTCGCCTATATTCAGAAATATATATTCATTATTTATTTATTTACGACATTTATATGCCTCCCTTTTCACCCCAAAGGGGACTCAGAGCGGCTTACAAGATATATATACATTAGGCTTGGGTAACAATGGAAAAAATTGTTTCTAAACTCGTTTCGTTTTTAGGGGGTCCGTTGCGTTTCGTTTTTTTAAAGAATTCCGAATTTTTTCTTTAAAATTTTTTGAAATTTACGAAATTTTGTAAATTTCGAATTGATTCGTTAATGGCGGACGCGATCGCGCAATATGCTAAAAAAACCTCCAAATGGGACAGGGGGAACTTCTGAAGCTTCCCTCTCCCTCTGTTGTTGACTGTTGGTGTGATAAAACAAACAACAACTATATTATATTATATTATATTATATTATTATATATTATATTATATTATTATAATAATATTATATTATATTATATATTATTATATATTATTATATTATATTATATATTATTATATTATATTATGTTATTATATATTATATTATATTATTATTATATTATATTATATTACGAAATAATTACGAAAATTGGAAAGATTGTTTCGATTCTTAATTACTCCTCACACTATTCCTGCATGGCTCAATATCGGATCGTAAGCTAATTTAAATACGAATTAATAACGAATTACGAAATTAACTAACGAAACCGCCCAAGCCTAATATACATACAATATATTATATTATTAGCATAGTACAATATCAGTTTTATATATTACTATAGTGTACTATACCATTATATTGTAATATTATTAGGAATATAAACTATGTACCGTATATACTCGAGTATAAGCCAACCCGAATGTAAGCCGAGGCACCTAATTTTACCACAAAAAACTGGGAAAACATATTTACTTGAGTATAAGCCGAGGGTGAGAAATCCAGCAGCTACTGGTACATTTCAAAATAAAAATAGATACCCATAAAATTACATTAATTGAAGCATCAGTAGATACTGCTGGTGTCTTCATTAGTTTATTTATGTCCTACTTTTTCCCAATTTTATTTATTTATTTATTTACGGCATTTATATGCCGCCCTTCTCACCTCGAAGGGGACTCAGAGCTGCTTACAAGATATATATAAATACAACATATTATATTATTAGCATAGTACAATATCAGTATTATATATTACTATATTGCACTACACCGTTATATTGTAATATTATTAGTATAATTACATGTAATGTAAATATATAATTATAATTTTTTATTATTAGTAGTAGTATTATATCGTATTGCATTATAATATTATAAATATTATATGTATATACAATATATTATATTATATTATTAGTAAAGACAAGATGGAACTGTCTTCTGCTCCCCTCTGTCTTCGCTCTTATAGGGCTCTTGAGTAGCTTACAGTTAATTAGAAATTGTACAACCTGAGATGGTTGTAGGCCTTTCTTAGAGATCAAATAGATTCACCTAAGAAGATAGGCTCCTTCAAATAACATAGACTCAAGTTACTGTTGTTTTTGTGTGAGAGAGTGTGTGTATACTCTTAATTAGAATATTTGAAAATATTTGTATAGATAGATACGCAAATATGGTATCTGGACAATACATAAATAATCCAATTTTCATGCAAATAGATACCTCTACACTTCTACCAGCTTAAGCACAAATCTAAAATGCGAACATACATACCAAAATCATTTAAATTATTCCCCCTTTATCCCATCATTGGTTTACATCCATGTAATATGTAGCAAGGAGGCCCCAGTGGGGCAGTGGGTTAAACTGCTGCGCTGCTGAACTTACTGCATGAAAGGTTGGCGGTTGGAATCCGGGGAGTGGGGTGAGCTCCTGCTGTCAGCCCCAGCTTCTGCCAACCTAGCAGTTCGAAAACATGCAAATGTGAGTAGATTAATAGGTACCGCTTTGGCAGGAAGGTAACGGCGCTCCATGCAGTCATGCTGGCCACATGACCCTGGAGGTGTCTACGGACAACTCCGGCTCTTCGTCATTGAAATGGAGATGAGCACCAACCCCCAGAGTCGGACACAACTGGACTTAATGTCAAGGGAAATCCTTCACCTTTACTAATATGTAGCGAACTATGTATTTCTACCTGTATTTACCCAAAAAGAGGATCTTATTTACCCATAGATACTCGAGTATAAGCCAACCCGAATATAAGCCGAGGCACCTCATTTTACAACAAAAAACTGGGAAAACGGATTGACTAAAGTATAAGCCGAGGGTGGAAAATGCAGCAGCTACTGGTAAATTCCAAAATAAAAAAAACCCAATAAAATTGCATTAATTGAGACATTGGTAGGTTAAATGTTTTTGAATAAATAAGATAAGACTGTCCTCTGATTAAAGCATTATTCTAACCTTCTTCAGTTTGTGTTTACATTTCCTTCCAATAATAGTAATAGTTTAAATTAATAAATGTAATAATAACACTAATAAAGAATAAAATTATAAATGTAATAATAATAATAGAGTACAATGATTAATGTAATAATAATAATATTAATAATAATAGAGTAAAATAATAAAAAACCTTGACTCGAGTATAAGCCGAGGGAGACTTTTTTAGCCTAAAAAAAGGAGTGAAATACTAGGCTTATACTCGAGTATATACAGTATTTATTTATTTATTTCCTATATTTATACCCCGCCCTTCTCCCCCCAAATTTTAACAATTTATGTCTTGAAATCTACCAGTAGTATTTTTTTCCCATTTTCAAAAAGGTTGCCATTCTTCTAAAAATCTACCAAACGACTCGTTACTCAACAAAGGTTTTAATTTATTTGTTTCTGTAAGCTTCCAACATCTTCACTATCTCATCTCCTGTTGTTGGGATCCCTGTACTTTTTCACACCTTTGGGCATAGCGTAACCTGGCTGCTGTGGTCATCTATTACAGTGTTGCTTTTGGTATGATTGCTGATGGCATTATATCAGAAGAAATACGGAACTCAAGAACGGAAAACAGAATGTTGGTGGACAGGAAAAGAGATTTAAAGATGGGCTCAAAGCCAACCTTAAAAACTCTGGCATAGACACTGAGAACTGGGAAGCCCTGGCCCTTGAGCGCTCCAGCTGGAGGTCCACTGTGACCAGCAGTGCTGCAGACTTTGAGGAGGCACGAATGGAGGGCTAAAGGGAGAACCATGCCAAGAGGAAGGCGTGTCAAGCCAACCCCGACTGAGACCGCCTTCCACCTGGAAACCAATGCCCTCACTGCGGAAGAAGATGCAGAGCAAGAATAGGGCTCCACAGCCACATACGGACCCACAAGAATATTGGAGGACAATCATCCACGGAAAACGAGGTATTGCCTAAGGATATCAGAAGGAGAACGGTGAGCTCCGCCTAGTTGTGGATGTAAAACTGGAGGTGCTTTGTGTCAGAGTGTGACAGAAGCTTTGAAGCTTAGAAGAATGGACACTTTGAGACTTCAGTAAAAGCAAACGTATAGCTTTACTGAGTAGAGCAAATATACAGCACACACTCGCATTGACACCCAACCAAAAAGACAGAAACAAGGCAAAAGCACCGAAGTAAGAAGGATGAATGAAATCTTATCTCTGGATCCTCCTCCAGGCACACTCAGGGTCACAACTTCACAGTTCATTAGAGGCTTGACTGATTAACCCTTTCAGAGTCAATACACTGTTTGCTAATGCAATCAGGTTACATTCACAGGCATTACACAAAATTACATTTAAACATCTGCCCTTGCGCTGTGCTACTCCACTGCTGAGTATGCATGCCCAGTGTGGAACACATCTCACCACGCTAAAACAGTGGATGTGGCTCTGAATGAGACATGCCGCATTATCACGGGGTGTCTGCGCCCTACACCACTGGAGAAATTACACTGTCTAGCTGGTATTGCACCACCTGACATCTGCTGGGAAATGGCAGCCAATAGTGAAAGGACCAAGGCAGAGACATCTCCAGCTCATCCCCTGTTTGGGTATCAGCCAGCACGTCAATGACTTAAATCCAGACATAGTTTTCTAAGATCTACAGAGACACTCGCTGGAACGCCTCAGCAAGCGAGAGTCCAAAAGTGGCAGGCTCAAACACAGAACCTAAACCAATGGCTGATACCAAATGAGAGACTCCCCCCTGGGCACACAGACTGGGCGACTTGGAAGGCGCTGAACAGACTGCGCTCTGGCACCACAAGATGCAGAGCCAACCTTCAGAAATGGAGCCACAAAGTGGAATCCTCGACATGGAAGTGCGGAGAGGAGCAAATCACTGACCCCCTGCTGCAATGCAACCTGAGCCCTGCCACATGCACAATGGAGGACCTTCTTGCGGCAACACCAGAAGCACTCCAAGTGTCCAAATACTGCTCAAAGGACATTTCATCAACTACCAAACTCACAAATTTTGTATTTTCTCTGTTTGTTTGCTTTGTTCTGTAAAATGTAATATAATTGACTGGCTGCCCTGACACGAGAACATTTAAACATTCACCTTACACTAATCTTACATTAACACTTTGTGCTTCCCCAGGAGGAGTACGACGACATCGTCATCAACCGCGGGCATTAGGAAGACCAGTTCGAGGGGATCCTGTTTGTCTCCTGGGGCCCCCCATCCTCTCAACCCGCCTCCCCCTGTGGCAGCTGGCTGTGATTTCTGTAGCAACTGCATCTTCACTGTGAGCTAGATTTGTATTATTTATAAGAAGCGAGGCTGCGAGTCTCGAGCAGATCCTGGCACCCCATTCCAATGTAACTTCCGTGGTTGCTTTGTTTTTTTTCTGTCCGGTTTCCAAGCCCTCGCGGCTTCTTGTCTGTCTCGATGTTTGATATCCAACAGTGAAGAATGTGCTTTGACCATGTGTGGGCGAACTCTGGTCCTCCAGGCGTTTTGGACTTTAACTCCCACAATTCCTAACAGTTAGGAACTGTGGGTATTAGAGTCCAAAATACCTGGAGGGCCAAAGTTTGCCCATGCCTGGCTTTGGGTATTAGTATTTCTGTTCTTCTTTAGATATTTCCCATTCCCACTTGCTGCATCGTGCCTTAAGCACGGTCTCAGTGGACACTGGAGCTGAGACAGTCGTCCATGTCTAGACCCGAAGTGTTAGTTATTCTAGACCAGTGGTTCTCAACCTGGGGTCCCCAGATGTTTTGGCCTTCAACTCCCAGAAATCCTAACAGCTGGTAAACTGGCTGGGATTTCTGGGAGTTGTAGGCCAAAAACATCTGGTGACCCCAGGTTGAGAACCAGTGTTCTAGACCTACGGGGGTTCCTTCTAACAGGAACCTGTTGCTGAGTTTTGGGACGGTCTCTCAACCCAAAGCAAGGCCTCATTCTCACCAGACACAGCTCTGAGTAGTACTAGAGGTCACTTTGTGGGTTATTTGGGGTCAGTATGTCGCCATGCTCTGTGCCATGCTTGCTCCCTCCATTCCTCCACTTCTGAGATTCTTTTCTTGCCTTTTTTAATCTGGGCAAGGTTTGGGTCCTAAGTAGGGAATGGAAGGTGGAGAGGAAATCCTCTCCTTCCTCAGTAGATGGAACAAAGACTCCCAAGATCCTGGGATGGCTCTGAGCTTACAAAAACCGCTTTTTCATTATGGTAATTCGCCTCCAAGGCTAGGTGCCCTAGAACCCTAGAACAGTGGTTCTCAACCTGTGGGTCACTAAATATTTTGGCCTTCAACTCCCAGAAATCCTAACAGCTGGTAAACTGGCTGGGATTTCTGGGAGTTGTAGGCCAAAACACCTGGGGACCCACAGGTTGAGAACCACTGCCCTAGAAGTAAAACCACTGTCAAAAGCAGTTCTGTACAAGAGCTAGTAAGAGCACAGGGCTGAGTTTAGTTGCGTTGATGCTTTTCTGGCCTTCGACTTACCTCCTTCTGGGTATATTATTTCTCCCCATCCCTTGCCTTCCCCTTTAAATTCATGCCACTTTGTTTACCTCTGCCTTTTGTATATATCAGGAAAGAGGGATCTTGCAGTCCTTAAAGGTGTTCTCAGCAGCAAGCATTCTTGAGTCATGCCTGGGATGGGCTTAGGCTAATGGATGTTGGAGTCCAAGAGCACTTGTAGGACCACACCTTCCCCATCTCTGGTACACGTATTCCTTTCTGCTGCAATTAGTAATTTATGGAGCCAAATGAACTACTTTTAGCAGCGCTGGGAGGAAGAAGGGGAAGGAAACATAGTTCACTTTTGCAAGGGAAATTCCAGGAAATGTCACGAGAGGTTTGCTACAATTCAAATCTGTGAAACATCCATCTCTTAGTTGTTGTAGGTTTTTCGGGCTATATGGCCATATGAACATGGCCATATAGCCCGAAAAACCTACAACAACCCAGTGATTCCGGCCATGACAGCCTTCGACAATACATCGTCCATCTCTTAGTTTTTCTTACTCACAGAAACTCCTGGGATATTCTTCTGTTTTTTTTTCCAAATTCAGAAACAGACAGGCGTAGTGATGCCTGGGATTTTAAGCAGTGCAGTTCCTATTATTGTTATTGGGAGAAAGTTGAAAAATGGAAACTCTTCCATCCAGGATGAATATGAGTACCCCAGTAGAGAAACTTTCTTGCGACAGCCAACTAGAAAGCTGGCTCTTCCTTTGGGAGGATCAGTGTTTGGAAAAGTTAACTTTTGGGGACTACAATTCCCAGAATCCACCTAGGCAGCATTGCAGTGCCAAAAAGATAACTTTCAGGAAACATAGTTTACTTTTGGCCACCCCGCAACTGCAAGGGGAATTCCAGAAAATGTCACAGTTCAAAACTGTGAGACGTCCATCTCTTAGTTTTTCTTACTCACAGGAAACTCCTGGGATATTCTTCTGTTTCTTTCCAAATTCAGAAACAGACAGACGTAGCGATGTCTGGGTTTTAGCAGTGCAGTTCCTATTATTGTTATTGGGAGAAAGTTGAAAAATGGAAACTCTTCCATCCAGGATGAACATGAGAGCAGCCCCAGTAGAGAAACTTCCTTGCGATGGCCAACTAGAAAGCTGGCTCTTCCTTAGATGAGTGGTTCTCAACCTGTGGGTCTCCAGATGTTTTGGCCTTCAACTCCCAAAAATCTTGCGACGGCCAACTAGAAAGCTGGCTCTTCCTTTGGGAGGATCAATGTTTGGAAAAGTTAACTTTTGGGGACTACAGTTCCCAGAATCCATCTAGGCAGCATTGCAGTGCCAAAAAGATAACTTTCCCAAGCTCTTCTTTGAGGCCAGGCTGGGAGGCTTGAATGACATTCCTGGGAGGATCCTCAGTTTCAACTGCTTCTTCCTAAGAGGAAATCCTTCTGTGACAAGCTCCCAACTTTTATTTTCTAGGCTTCTTGAATAAGCAGTGGTTAGGAGCTCCATTTCCTCTTTGGAGAGGGGCATCTGCTTTACCAGAGTGTGTGCATTGATCCATTCCATCTGTCACGCTAAGCTCTGTTGTATCTCCATCAGCATTGTATCTAACTTCCCCACAATGCTTTCTCCATGGTCCTAGGCTCCTCCATTGAGATGGAGCACTGTGACTTCTACAACACTCAAAAGCAGCAAAAAGGGAGATGGGAAAGGAAGGTGATGGGATGGTTATTGGAATCTGAGGACAGCTTTAGGCCACCATCATGGTCATATATGTGACCACCATGATGAGTAGGCCTTAGATGAGTGGTTCTCAACCTGTAGGTCCCAAGATGTTTTGGCCTTCAACTCCCAAAAATCCTAACAGCTGGTAAACTGGCTGGGATTTTTGGGAGTTGGAGGCCAAAACACCTGAGATGGCAAAGGAAGGTGATGGGATGGTTATTGGAATCTGAGCACAGCTACAGGCCACCATTGTGGTCATATGTGTGGCCACCATGATGAGTAGGCCTTAGATGAGTGGTTCTCAACCTGTGGGTCTCCAGATTTTTAGCCTTCAACTCCCAAAAATCCTAACAGCTGGGATTTCTGGGAGTTGGAGATCCACAGGTTGAGGACCACTGCCTTAGATTGTTTCCAGAAGTTGGAATTTTAGACCAGGAATGAGAGACAAGGGGTCTCAGAAAGTAGACTTTGTGTGGTGGCTATGGATGAGGGTTTTCACATATCCACTGATGGGCTGCAGTAGCTCAGGAATGCTGGGAGCTGTAGTCCATTGCATAAACAGAGCTTGACTTTGCCCCATGCTAAATACTTTGGGAGATGGTGCCATGGCCAGCCAGAAGAGGAGTGGATGGATTCTGCCAGCATTTGATAAGCTGAATTTTGAAGCTGCCCAATGCGCTGGGCTCTTTGGATAGATGAAGCATTGTCTCGTTCCAATATATATCCAGCCTCTGTGTATTCATCAAAGACAAAAACTGTCAGGCATTGCATATAATCCCAGTCTCAACAGAATTTATTCTCCGCTTCCCTGTGGCTTGCTGTTTCAAAGCTACAGTGTGGTTTTCCTGTGTTTTATTCCACGTCTGTGACTCAGTTCAGTCTCTCTGCCTCTTTTGTGTTTATTGTATTATGTAGGCCTCTCTCTGAACAGATTGGATTAAAAGCTGTGGATTTCTGTGTGCCTTTTTGTGTGTGTGTGTTTCAATTGAGGCTCTACATATATGATGGAAAACCGGTAAGTTTGAAACATGGGATGATGACAGGATAGTCATCCTGTATATGTTGGAAAATCAGAGCTCAAATGTAGTAAATGTTTTAGGAGAAGCCTCGTTGGAAGCAATTAGGTTTCCTTCTCAATGAACTTGCCGCAGCTGAGCTTGTATGAATACCTTCTAAGCTCCTGGCTGAATCATCACAGGGATGGAAAAGTAAGTACTGTATGTACTCGAGTATAAGCCGACCCGAATATAAGCCAAGGCACCTAATTTTACCACAAAAAACTGGGAAAACATATTGACTTGAGTATAAGCCGAGGGTGGGAAATGCAGCAGCTACTGGCAAATTTCAAATTAAAAATAGATACCAATAAAATTATATTAATTGAGGCATCAGGGGGTTAAATGTTTTTGAATATTTACACAAAACTGTGTTTTAAGATAAGACTGATTAAACTATTATTCTAACCACCTTCAATGTAAATGTACTTACATATCCTTCCTATAATAGCAAAGAGAGTAAAATAATTGTAATAAAAATAATAATAGAGTATAATAATGGAAATGTAATAATAACAGTAATAATAGAGTAAAATAACATGTAATCATAATAATGGAGTAAAACAATAAATGTAATAATAAATAGAGTAAAATAATAAATGTAATAAAAATAATAGAGTAAAATAATAAATAACCTTGACTTAAATATAAGCTGAGGGGTGCCTTTTCAGCCTAAACAAAAGCCTGAAAACTCAGTTTATACTCAAGTATATACGGTAAATACAAGAGGTGTACTTATCCCTAATGTACAAGTAGAGATTCTAGAAAGCAGTGGCATTTTGCATGGAGGAACCCATATCTCTACCTTTTTTTACTTCTCTCCACATTGTGCTCAATCTCATTTTCAGTCGAGGAATTATGCTGAGCTCAAAACACAAACAAAGAGGGTTCGTTATTTCTTGAAAGTATTAAGACGACACAAAAGGACACAAGGCAATTCCAGTTTCCACACCACTTATTTTTTTAATCATTTTATTAAGTTGACTCCACACTGGCGATTAAAGCAGACCTGGCCTCAGGGGCCAATGTCCAAACAGCAACACCCAGGCAGGTAAACAAACCAAATATCCCCAGGACTGCATAAGGCAGCTTCCCGAAATGGATCTGCCTTTGTACTGATGCTTGAAGAGGCGGCTGGGGTTTGGTAAAGAGATGGAAGATTTCAGTCTGAACAGTCAAAGCAGTGGGTACAAAATGGGTCAAGGAACGGCTGGGGGATTACTGCCATAGCAAAATTGAGTTTAAAACATTAATGCAGGCGTGGGCAAACTTTGGCCCTCCAGGTGTTTTGGACTTCAACTCCCACAATTCCTAACAGCCTACCGGCTGTTAGGAATTGTAGGAGTTGAAGTCCAAAACACCTGGAGGGCCAAAGTTTGCCTATTACTGTATTAATGGGAGGAGGCTCCTTTTATACATTACAAAAAAATCCCTGCCTTAATCCTGGAGCTTAAATTGTTGCCTATAGCGGGGGGAACATTTGCATTTTGCAATGCATCCTTCAGGGAATGCTTGAGTTAGGAACTACGTACACCAGGGGTCTTCAAACTAAGGCCCGGGGGCCGGATACGGCCCTCCAAAGTCATTTATCCGTCCCTCGCTCAGGGTCAACCTAAGTCTGAAACGACTTGAAAGCACACAACAACAATAATCCTATCATCAGCCAAAAGCAGGCCCACACTTCCCATTGAAATACCAATAAGTATATATATATTTGTTAAAATTGTTCTTCATTTTAATTATTGTATTGTTTTAAAGTGTTTTTTGCACTACAAATAAGATATCTGCTGTGTGCACAGCACAACAACAGAGAGGAAACAAACAAGGACATCTAATCACCTCTCAACAAAAGATTGCTCCAGGCACTGCCAGGCAATCAAATGCTCATCAAGGTGATCATTCACACCTTGCTCCAACAGACAAGAGTCCTTTGTCCCACCCTGGTCATTCCACAGATATATAAACCCTTTTTCCTAGTTCCAACAGACCTCACTACCTCTGAGGATGCTTGCCATAGATGCAGGCGAAACGTCAGGAGAAAATGCCTCTAGAACATGGCCATATAGCCCGAAAAAACCTACAACAACCCAGTGATTCCAGCCATGAAAGCCTTCGACAATACAGTATTGTTGTTGTTGTTGTGTGCTTTCAAGTCGTTTCAGACTTAGGTTGTCCTTGAGTGAGGGCCGGGTAAATGACCTTGGAGGGCCATATTTGGCCCCCGGGCCTTTGTTTGAGGACCCCTGTCCTAAACCATAAAGCACTAAGGCTAATCGTTAGGGATTGTGGGGATGTGATAATTGTTGTTGTGTGCTTTCAAAGCATTTCTGACTTAACGGTGACCCTAAAGGGACCCTGTTGTGGATTTGTCTTGGCAAGGTTTGTTCAGAAGGGGCTTGCCTTTGTCTTAAATTGAAGCTGAGATTGACTGGCCCAACAGTGGGTTTCCATGGCTGAGTGAGGAGTCGAACTCTGGTCTCCCAGGGTCCCAGTCCAACACCCAAATCGCGGCACGGAAACATTGGAAAAGATTAAAGTTTCCCCACTTCCTGCTACATAAGATGGACTCTCCCAAAATCTGGCTGTGTTTATAGAGGTGGAAAACAACAACAAGGCCACATAGAACTTTTAGGGTATGCCAAGTATCCTGCAAATAGCCAAACAGATCCCAAAGAGCAGTTAGTTTCCCCAAGTGACAAGAAGCAACTTGGGATTTGAAGTATTTTTTGCTTTTAGGGAAGGATGGAAAAAGGGATGGAGGGATTGTGTTTTTTTGGGGTTGGGGATAGGGTCTCTTTAGGGATGGAGGGATTGCGTTTTTTTGGGTTGGGGATAAGGTCTCTTTAGGGATGGAGGGATTACTTTTTTGGGTTGGGGATAGGGTCTCTTTAGGGATGGAGGGATTGTGTTTTTTTGGGTTGGGGATAGGGTCTCTTTAGGGATGGAGGGATTGTGTTTTTTGGGTTGGGGATAGGGTCTCTTTAGGGATGGAGGGATTGTGTTTTTTGGGTTGGGGAAAGCTCCATTAACAGTCCAAAGCCAAGCTGAAGAGAGAAAAAGAGAAAGAGAGAGAAGATATATTTACAAAGATTGCAAAGGAAGGAAGAGGGGAAAGAATGGGCAGAAGGTGATCCTTTTCGCTGCCCACCCTGCTTCCGAAAACAGCAGCGAATGGGCTACTTCCCCCATTTGAGTTTCTCAAGCCTCTTGGCAGCCCTTTTCAACTCTTCCTCGATGTCCTCCAACTTCTTCAGTTCCTGAAAGACAGAAATAGTGAGAGAAGAGAGTCCTTCTTTAGCTGCATTGGCCAAAACAATGTTTTGATTCAGAATCAGAAAGTCAGAAAGGGGCCTCGAGGGCTATCAAGTCCAGCTCCCTTTCTGCCATGCACACAACTCAAAACACGCCTGAAAGATGCCCGTCCAACATCTGTTTAAAGACTTCCAAAGAAGGAGAAGACCCTCAGAGGCAGTCTATCGCATGGATAAACAGTTCTTACAGTCAAGAAGTTCTTCCTAATGCTTAGGTGGAATCTCTTCTTGTAATGTGTATCCACTGCTTCATCCACCTTTGGATCAACCAAAAACAAGACCACTTAATCTGTTGATTAATTGACCTTTTGACCATCTGCTCAAACATAAGGGTCTCCATCCCAAACATCAGCACACCCCTTTGCCTTCCCAACAAGGAAGTCAAGCCTCAAAGTACATGTCCACTGCATCATGGAGTAGGAATACTGACCTCATCTGGGCTGGCCTCCCTGTCTTCCTCCTCCTCGGCATCGTGGGTGTGATATCTGCCCTTCAGGTACATGGCATCCTTCTCATGCCTCTTCTTGAGGTCCAAACCACTGCTTTGATGGTGGTGCCCATGCTTTGACCCACCTACTTCTTCCTCTTGGTCTTCTTCTTGCCATGGTTTCCGTCCTCCGTTGAGGTGGCTCTGAGAGTTGGAGATTTTGACCCCTTTCTCTTCCTCTTCGAACTGAGAGGTCTCCTCATCGCTGGCCTTCTCAGCCACTCGCTTTGCCAGATATGGCCTCTTCTTCACCTCCTCTTCCTCCTCTTCATCCCAGTCATGGTGGCGGCCTTGGTTGACCCCTCGGTGGTGGTACTTCCTCGGCTCCTCTTCCTCGCTCTCGTCTTCCTCCTCCAGCTTGAAGCGCCTCTTGGCCAGCCCATTCCTCTTCCTCTCGTCTTGGTCTCCTTGAAACATCCCCTCCCTGATCTTGGGCCCACCTGGACTTCTGCTCTTGACGTGGCCAAAATATTCCTTAGAAGACCACGTCTCTGAAGAACTCCTCCTCTTTTTCTTCCTCGCTTCCTCCTCCTCTTCTTCCTTCTTCCCTTCCTCCTCTTCTTCCATCAGCTCCTTGACCTGCTCCTCCAAAGCTTGACGGTGGGCCTCTTCTTCCGAGACCTTCTCCTCCTTCACCTTCTCTTCCATTTTTTCTGTCTTCTCGTACTCTTTCCGCTCCTCTTCCTCTTCCTTCCTTCCTCCACTTTGCTCGCTCATCTTCTCAGCGGCGGCTTCTCTCTGCAAGATGGGTTTCGTGCCTCTCTTCTTCACCTCTTCCTGCTCACCATTGTCTCCTTCCCAGGCTTCGTGGCCCAGGCGATGCTTTACATTCTCTAAAGACCAACAGGGAGAAATGGGAGAAGGCATGGCTCAGTAGACAAATACAATCATGCTTGGAAAGGTAGAAGGAAAAGAGGAAGACCGCATTACAGATGGGTAGACTCAGTCAACGAAGCCCTTAGTTTACAAGACATGATAGGATGATTTCGGTTTATGGGGTTGCCAATTGATATAAATATAAATGTAATGTTTGTTTGTGGGATTAACATAACTCAAAAACCACTGGACAAATTGCTGCCATATTTGGCCACAAGACACCTACTAACCCAAGGAGTGACCATCACTCAAAAAATGATTTTGTCATTTGGGAGGTGTAGTTGCTGGGATTTATAGTTCACCTACAATCAAAGAGCATTCTGAACACCAATGATGGAATTGAACCAAATGTGGCACACAGAACTCCCACAGACCAACAGAAAACACTACAAGGGTTTGGTGGGCATTGACCTTGAGTTTTGGACTTGTAGTTCACCTACATCCAGAGAGCACTGTGGACTCAATGAAAGGTATGCGATTTTCAGCTCAATTTTCAGAAAAATTAAAAAAGAATTAATACCTTGATGCGCAAGTTCTGCCAGCTCCGAGAGGAGATGCTGGTGATGGAGCATCGCAAGGACTCTCTCGTCTGAAATGGACACACAACAATAGCAGGTATATAATAACATACATGGTTATGTCCATATCACATATACCAAGTTCAAAGCATCTAAGCCGAAGATACAGCAATAATCTGATTACGCATATTACATTTTAATGTTATGAGCTGCTTTGTGTTTTGGTCAGATTCATAAGCAGGCTAGAAATAATAATAATAATAATAATAATAATAATAATAATAATAATGATGATGATGATGATGATGATGATGATGAAACAGTTGAGCTGTTCTCTTGGGGGAAAACTTTTGATCAAAGGTGATCTATAATAATAATAAGCAGTGTATAAATAGTAATAATACTTATTATACTTATTATTTGATACACAACAAGATGAGTACACAGCAAACAAAATCATCCCATGTCGGACACTTCCTAAGTGTGTAAGACTTTGTGATGTATTGGCGAATAATGCATGCAGATGCAAGTAGGACGGCCTTTTGCAGCTGACAGATGGTGATTTTGTCAGTGCCAATTGTGTTTAAGTGCAGGCCAAGGTCTTTAAGCACTGCACCCAGTGTGCCGATCACCACTGGGACCCCTTGACTGGCTTGTACCAGAGTCTTTGCAGTTCAATCTTGAAATCCTCATATCGTGTAGTTGCTTTTCGTCAATTCCGCTGTCACCTGGGATTGCAACATTGATGATCCATTATTATGAGGGTTGAATGAAAAGTAATGCCTCCACCATTGTTACTTGGGTTTGGATGTGAATATTTTAATAAACGCAGAAATAATCCTTAGAATGTGCTCTTTAACTACCACTGTTCATTTTTCCACATAATCACCAGACAATTGGATGCATTTCTGCCAACGACGAACAAGTTTTCTGAAGCTGTCACGGAAGAAGTCAACACTCTGTTTCCACAACCAGCGTCTCACAGTTCTCTCAACGTCTTCATCAGAAGCATAATGATGTCCCCGCAGATCTTCTTTCATTATCGGAAACAGATGGAAGTCAGATGGTGCTAAATCTGGACTGTATGGATGATGCTGTACAGTGGTGAGATCCAGTCTCTGAAGTTCTGCTGTGGTGGCATGTGGTGGCATCTGACATTTCAGGCGTCAGCATCCTGGGTACCCATCATGCACAGATCTTCCAATAGCCAAGCCAAGCAATAATGTGACCCACACGTTCTTGTGAAATGCCAATTATGCTTGAAATTCCTCTGAGTGGTACGACCATCATCCTGAATCAATCTGTCAACCTTTTGCTTGTGAAACTTGGTGGTTGCTGTCATAGGACGTCCAACTCTTTGTCATGCAAGTCAGATGTTCCCACCTCAACATTTTTAAAGTTACTCGCCCAACGATGCACAGTACTCACATCAACACAATCGCCATAAACAGCTTGCATTCTCCGATGTATCTCCTTTGGGGTGACACCTTCTGCTGTCAAGAATTCAATGACTGCACATTGCTTAAGTCGCATTGACCGACCATCTGCGCAAGGTTCCATACTTCGCACTTTAACCACACCATCGTTCAATGCTAAGGCTTCCCGCCAAAATTGAACTGTAGAGGAGAGTCTACTGAACAAACCAGTACCTGCCACATACCAGTACTGCCATCTGTTGAGGAATTATGAAGGTGGAGGCATTACTTTTCATTCAACCCTCATGATATTATTATTATTATTATTATTATTATTATTATTATTATTATTATTCCATACTGTGAAATAATAAATTATTTCTCTTGACTCCTGACGAAACAATTGGACTGTTCTGTCCTCTTATGGGAAACTCTTTGATCAAAGATGATATATTATTATTGTTGTTGTTGTTATTGATCACCTTTGGAAAGAGGACGGCTCAGCTGTTTCATCAGGAGTTAAGAGAAATAATAATATACTTTTTTTGTCGTGTCAGGAGCGACTTGAGAAACTGCAAGTCGCTTCGGGTGTGAGAGAATTGGCTGTCTGCAAGGACGTTGCCCAGGGGATGCCCGGATGATTTTATGTTTTTATCATCCTTGTGGGAGGCTTCTCTCATGTCCCCACTTGGGGAGCTGGAGCTGATAGAGGGAGCTCATCCGCCTTTCCCCGGATTCGAATCTGCGAGCTGTCGGTCTTCAGTCCTGCCGGCACAGGGGTTTAACCCACTGCGCCACCGGGGACTCCATAATAATAATAATAATAATAATAATAATAATAGACCATACGGATCAAAGTATTTCCCATAAGAGAACAGGACACCCATTCTTTTTGATAGGAGTCAAGGAAAATAATTTATTATTTCACAGTAGGGAATTAATAATAATAATAATAATGATTCGTAGTAATATTACTATTTTATACCCTGCTTTTTCTTTGTCAAAGGAGATTCAAAAATACTAATATTAAAAACCATTGGATATTGCTTGAGCTTCTTTCCTAGCAACATCCACTTACCTTCCCTTAATATCTTCATGCATTCGCTGGTCACTGGGTGTGGGCTGGGTCCGGAAAGGGTATCTGCCAAGATTTCGGTGATGCATTTGGTCACCTGGTATGGAAAACCAGAAAGACATATAGTCCCTATAGCACTGTGGTTCTCAACCTGTGGGTCCCCAGGTGTTTTGACCTACAAGTCCCAGAAATATGAGCTAGCTTACCAGCTGTTAGGATTTCTGGGAGTTGAAGGCCAAAACATCTGGGGACCCACAGGTTGAGAACCACTGCTATAGCACCTTTCAAACTCCTATTCCAACACAGATTTCCTTATGCCATCAGCCCATGGGTATTAGGACTGAAATGTAGAATATCTCACTCTATTCCATCTATACAAATGCAAGTATGTTGGGGTCCTTTCTTCTACCATTCTCCTTCCCTTAATTTCAAACTTTTTCCCTAGCATAGATGTATTGGACTACAAGTCCCATCATCCCAAACCAGCAATTGGTTTAGGGGATTCATTGTTCAGCTACCTCAAAGCCAACAAGAAGGCAAGGTCTGCACTGTGGTTTGTTATAATGTGGGTTTCTTTCATCGTCAGCTTTCGTCAGGCTTTATTGTCTCTTTCAATAAACCCAGCCAGGTTTATTTATTTATTTGCAGTATTTGTATTCCGCCCTTCTCACTCTGCAGGGGACTCAGGACGGATCACAATGCACATATACGTGGCAAACATTCAATGCCATAGACACACAACATATATAGACAGATACACAGAGGCTATTTAACATTCCAGCTTCATGAGGGTATGCTTTTTTAATTCCAGCCACCGGGGGAGCTGTCACTTTACTGTCCACTTGTGACACCAATTGAGTACTTCCTCATTCTTTCGCACACTGCTGGAGAGTTTTGTGGTGTCGTAAATTAGGCTCCCACATAAGCGGTACCTACATTTCCTACTTGACAGATGCAACTGTCTTTCAGGCTGCAAAGGTCAACAGCAAGCTAGACAAATGATCGGGAGGTTACTCCAACCCGGGCTGGCTTCCAACTCATGACCTTTTGGTCATAGCGATTTTAATGCAGCTGACTCCCCAACCAGTGGTGCTACAACCTGGTCCCACTGTGCCTCTTTTTTTTCCTTTCCTTACCTTTTCATCTTCTTCTGACAGCTGAGTGGTTAGCGGCAAGGCAAAGGCTGAAAAGGAAAACATAAATATATATGTTTTATATCCTTGTTTGTATCATTATTTATTATATTTGTATCCATTATTCTCTATTCACATCTTCTATCTATACACATAATAAAAGTGAAAATATGTATGTGTGTATGTGGCTGGGGTGCCCACTTCCATGGACCAGCTCCTGCTTCCACGAACAACTTTAACCCAAAGTGCTGAGGAACCACCAAAAGCTCTCCCTCCAATGACATTGCAGGTTATAGAGAGCACCATGAACGTGTAGCCCAACCCTTGCCAATGTCCTCCCCAAACACCATCCTGCCCACCACCCAAGAAATGCTTTCATTCGGGGACAATTTTAGGTGTTTCTTCCACCACAGACATCCCAGTGTTAATTACTCTCTCCATTGGTGTGGAATTTACATGATCCCGCCCACTGCTTCTCCCTTAATCCTTTCCTACTCTTTTCAACTTCCTCTGCATGTTATCGAGCAATTTAGAGTGGCTGTGGATAGAGAGATCCAAGCCATTGTGGGTTGCCTGGTGAGAAAAGAAGCCAGTGTTCCAGAATAAATCTCACCAAGTAGAAGAGAAAGCCACTGAGGTTTTATTTCATTCTAGCTGGAAAGGATGATGATTGCAGTAGTTTGCCAACAAATCGACATAACCCACTGGGCAGAGAAATACAAAATATGTTGTTGTTGTTGTTGTTCATTCGTTCAGTCGTCTCCGACTCTTCGTGACCTCATGGACCAGTCCACGCCAGAGCTTCCTGTCGGCCGTCACCACCCCCAGCTCCTTCAAGGTCAGTCCAGTCACTTCAAGGATGCCATCCATCCATCTTGCCCTTGGTCGGCCCCTCTTCCTTTTGCCTTCCACTTTCCCCAGCATAATTGTCTTCTCTAGGCTTTGCTGTCTCCTCATGATGTGGCCAAAGGACTTCCACTTTGTCTCTAGTCTCCTTCCCTCCAATGAGCAGTCGGGCTTTATTTCCTGGAGGATGGACTGGTTGGATCTTCTCGCAGTCCAAGGCACTCTCAGCACTTTCCTCCAACACCACAGCTCAAAAGCATTGATCTTCCTTCGCTCAGCCTTCCCGAAGGTCCAGCTCTCACATCCATAGGTGACTACAGGGAATACCATGGCTTTGACTAGGCGAAGGATCTTTGTTGCCAGTGTGATGTCTCTACTCTTTACGATTTTATCAAGACTGGACATTGCTCTCCTCCCAAGAAGGAAGCGTCTTCTGATTTCCTGGCCACAGTCTGCATCTGCACTCATCTTTGCACCTAGAAATACGAAGTCTGTCTCTTCCTCCACATTTTCTCCCTCTATTTTCCAGTTGTCAATCATTCTTGTTGCCATGATCTTGGTTTTTTTGACGTTTAGCTGCAACCCGGCTTTTGCGCTTTCTTCTTTCACCTTGATTAGAAGGCTCCTCAGCTCCTCCTCACTTTCGACCATCAGAGTGGTGTCATCTGCATATCTGAGGTTGTTAATGTTTCTTCCAGCCATTTTCACCCCAGTTTTGCATTCGTCAAGCCCCGCACATTGCATGGTGTGTTCTGCATACAAGTTTAAAAGATTGGGTGAGAGTATGCAGCCTTGCCGTACGCCTTTCCCAATCTTGAACCAGTCTGTTGTTCTGTGGTCAGTTCTAACTGTTGCTACTTGGTCCTTGTACAGATTCCTCAGGAGAGAGACAAGGTGGCTTGGTATGCCCATCTCACCAAGAACTTGCCACAATTTATTATGATCCACACAGTCAAAGGCTTTAGAGTAGTCAATGAAGCAGAAGTAGATGTTTTTCTGAAACTCCCTGCCTTTCTCCATTCTCCAACGGATATTGGCAATCTGGTCTCTCGTTCCTCTGCCTTTTCTAAACCCAACTTGAACATCTGGCACCTCTCGCTCCATGTATTGCTGGAGCCTTCCTTGCAGGATCTTGAGCATTACCTTACTGGCATGAGAAATAAGGGCCACTTTGATTTTAGGTGAACTATAAATCACTGCAACTACAACTCCAAACTGTCAAGGTTTATTTTCCCCAAACTCCATCTGTGTTTATATTTGGGCATATTGAGTATTCGTACCAAGTTTGGTCCAGATCCATCATTGTTTGAGTCCACAGTGCTCAAATTCAAAAGTTCCCATGCCCACGCCCACTGAGCTGGCTTTGTTATGATTGGCTGTGACGTCAGCAAGCCAGGAGGAGATCCAATGAGGGCCTGTGCCCTGGCCCTGCTTTTGGCCACCCAACCAATGGGTGGAAGGGAGGCGGGCAACAGGGAAACAATGAAGAAATGTCTAGTTGGTTGGATTAAGATGACTGGTGTTTGCCAAATGGCTGGGTGATAGCTTTAGGCTCTCAAGCCTGGCCTGAGTTATTGTTTGATTCCTTGAATTAACATTCCTATCTAGCCCCAACAGGCTAGGTCCTTTGTCACACTGTCCTATGATATGGAGTTCATTGATGAAGTAGATGCTAGTTTCAGGAGATCAGGATGTGTCACAGCAGGGAGGCGGATGACAAATCCCCGGTTCCTCACAGATGGAGTGATGTCCTTTGTGTTGGGTGATCCAAAGTATCCATAGACCCCCATCATTCTGGATAGCCTGGCTATTAGCCCTCCGAGGTCCGGTCAGACAGAGCCCTTTACTTATTGTCCATGCAAATGGGCTTGGTGAGATCCTTTGTCAGAGGATTATTGGCTCAGGAAGTTTGGAAACTCCAAGCGCTATGAGTTGCTGATTCATGAAAGGGTTGCTTTCCTTCATATTTTCTTATATAGACATACATATAGGGAATGAGGAATGGGGCAAGGGAGCATACGTATAGCAGGGTTGGGAGGACAATCTATATATATATAAATGCTCTGTGCATAATGAGTACCTTAAAAACAAAAGAACCAATGAACGAAATCACACCAAATTTGGCAACAAAACGTCTCACAACACAAGGAGTGACCATCACTCAAAAAATTATGATTTTTTCATTTGGGAGTTGTAGTTGCTGGGATTTATAGTTCGCCTACAATCAAAGAGCATTCTGAACTCTGTCAATGATGGAATTGAACCAAACTTGGCACACAGAACTCCCATGACCAACAGGAAATACTGGAAGGGTTTGATGGGCATTGACCTTGAGTTTGGGAGTTATAGTTCACTTACATCCAGAGAGCACTGTGGACTCAAACAATAATGGATCTGGACCAAACTTGGCACGAATACTCAATATGCCCAAATATAAACACAGATGGAGTTTGGGGGAAATAAACCTTGACAGTTTGGAGTTGTAGTTGCTGCGATTTATAGTTCACCTACAATCAAAGAGCATTCCGAACCCGACCAATGATGGAATTGGGCCAAACATCCCACACAGAACCCCCATGACCAATGGAAAATACTGTGTTTTCTGGTGTTTTTGGTGACCCTTTTGACACCCCTCTGGTGACTGCCCCCCCCCCCGGGTCTTGACTTCCCAGGTTGAGAAATGTTGCCTAAAAGCCATCCAGTCCAACTCCCTTCACCAGGGCAAGAAAACATAATCACAGCCCTCCTGACAAAGGGCCATCCAGCCACACACACATATATGTATATGACAGATTCAGTATAATAGATTTGAAAGGAACCCCTAAAGAAGGACTATGATATGTTGCATATTCCAGAGTAGGCAAACCAAACAAATCTCCACGTCAACATTGACAAAGAAACAACAAGAAATACTTTTAACCCACAACCATCAAGACATTACATATTTTAGAAACCAACACTTTCTCATTACTTTATTTCCCAGCTCATGAGACTGGGCCACAGCAACGCGTGGTAGGGGACCGCTAGTAGCTTTATAAACAAGCACCTTGGTATCCCTACGGATGTCCCGGTCCTCAAACTCTCTGCTTCATTTGGAAAAATGCTGCACTCGCAGCATTGTATTTCGGTGTCGGATGTTGGCTTTGGTGGAGAGGTGGCTGCCAAGGGAGGAGCGGAAATGGTCCACATTTTCTAATGTTACACCATTAAGCTGTATTTCTGGCATTGGGGAGGGACTGGTTGGTGACTGCTGGAACAGCACCTTGGTTTTCTTGATGTTCAAAGACAGGCCGAGTTTCTCGTATGCTTCTGTGAAGGTGTTTAGAGTGGCTTGTAGGTCTTCTTCTGAATGCACACAGACAAGGTTGTCATCTGCTATATGCCTGCAAGATGTGGACTGTCTACAGACATCACATGCAACTCCTGGAACGATTCCATCAACGTTGCCTCCGGAAAATCCTGCAAATCTCTTGGGGAGACAGGCGGACAAATGTCAGCGTGCTGGAAGAAGCAAAGACCAGCAGCATTGAAGCAATGGTCCTCCACCATCAACTCTGCTGGACCGGCCACATTGTCCGGATGCCCAACCACCATCTGAATAGAAAATTGAATGTTGGTGGGCAGGAAAAGAGATTTAAAATGGGCTCAAAGCCAACCTTAAAAACTCTGGCATAGACACTGAGAACTGGGAAGTCCTGGCCCTTGAGCGCTCCAGCTGGAGGTCAGCTGTGACCAGCAGTGCTGCAGAATTTGAAGAGGCACGAATGAAGGGTGAAAGAGAGAAACGTGCCAAGAGGAAGGCGCGTCAAGCCAACCCTGACGAAACCGCCCTCCACCTGGAAACCAATGCCCTCACTGCGGGAGAAGATGCAGGTCAAGAATAGGGCTCCACAAGAACGGACCCACAAGAACACTGGACTTGGAAGACTATCCTACTCAGTCAACAAGGGATCACTGTGTATGATCCCAAGGGAGCATACACAGAGTTCATAGGAAAAGGGGGAATCGTGCCGGGTCTAAGGGGAAGTCACATCAGCTTCCCCAAACAGGAGGGGAGATAGGGGATTGTGGTGCAGCTGGCTGAGTGTCTGACCAAAAAGGTCATGAGTTTGAAGCCAGCCTGGGTTGGAGTGGGTTTCCAACCAATTGTGTGTAACCTGTTGTCGACCTTTGCAACCCGAAAGACAGTTGCATCTGTCAAGTA